TGGGTTGCTGAGGATCTTCTCGGGGTTTAACTGTAACTGTATTACTGTAATGTGAAATCGGCGTTTGACTCAACAACTGATCACTAAATCTGTTCATAATGTTTACAGTTGGTGTTCAATATGATTGATTTGGAATCAATTCATGCATTTCATTTTATCGATTTCATCTGTTTGAATCAGAAACCTCAGGACAAGCCTCCTTCGTTGAAAAGGAAATATGAATTGCTAATGAATACTGAACATTCGTTTATGCGAAACATCTCGCCCAGGGAATTTGGTGATTGATTTAACTCACACGTATGTATACTGGATACACGTCAACCGTTGCTCATTGAAAAGAATGTAGTCAAATCAATATACAAACTCTGCATGACCTCCCTTCATGATCATCATGAAATATACCTACACTCTTCAAAACAAGAAACGCACAGGTAGATTTTTGGTAAATTTATTGTACCTAATAAAGTCAATATATTTAATTTAATATCATAGATACAAATATGAAATTTTGGAACTCGATAACCACATGCTGTCGTTGTACAAAGGCATTGAAAACTGTTCATTGTCATCATGTCACATAAGGACACAAGGTTGCGCTGAACACAGTATCTCGTGTGACCGCCCCGGGCAGCAATCACGACTCTGCATCTCCTCGGCACTGATTGAATAAGTTACGAATTCTCTCATGCGGAATTCTGCTTGTAATGTGTTCTGGAGATCTCGACGGCCAGGGCAAGCCGTTGATTTTGACATTATGAAGGAGGTCTACCGTGGCACCAGCTGTGTGGAGTGGAGCGTTGTCCTGTTAAAACAAATCCCTCTGGCGGTCAATGATTGGAAGGTGAGGTTGAAGAATTTGATTCATGTCGCGATTTGCTGTCACATTTCCCTGAACCACAACCAAGCCAGATCTCCTGGTGTAGGATATGGCCCCACACACCTTGACACTACCTCCAACGAAATTGTAGAAGTTACGCACACAATCTTGGGCAAAACGCTCATTTCGACGAAGATAAACACGTTGTCTTCCATCTCGCCGGTGAAGAAGAAATCGTGATTCATCGCTAAACCACACTCGTCTCCTGTTTCTCAAATTCTAAGGCTGTAAGGCATGGCACCAACGCATGCGTCGCTGTCGATGGATCTGTTGCAAAACACGGACGATAATTGGTTTTCTAGGTCGGATTCCAGCCTCGCGAAGATGGTTCCTGACAGTCTGGTCAGATATCCTCCTCAAACCAGGGATGCGTCCTGCAGCTTCCGCAACTGTGGCATTGCGATGACGTAGATGGAACAGTCGAATGTATCGATCCTGTGCAGGGGTGGTAACTCTTGGTCAGCCGGTTCTCGGACGGTCTGCAGTGGAATTGAACTGTGTGTATCGGTCACAAAGGCGGCAAATGATGCTGTAGTGGACGTTGAAGTAGCGTGCAACAGAAGACTGCAATTCCCCTCTTTGGATACGTACTATGGCGATGTTCTGATCGGCAGCGCTGAGTCTCGGCATTTTCGAACTTGAAAGATTTTGACAATTGAATGACACATTATTGGTTTATGCTTGCCTATTTATAGCCACTACCATGAGTAACGAATGACATAACTTGCACGTGCATTTTGCTTTACTGTTTTCCTCCATGACATTTTTGAACAAGTGTGAAAACAATGCCGTTAAAGACATTGCAAATCGACAATGGCATATATCCAATTTTTATTTCCGGACTTTTTGTGTCGTCAGGTTCAGTGAACCACATACTACCTGTGCGTTTCTTTTTTTGAAGAGTGTATATAGTAATGAATAACAATGGACAGACAAAAGACAATGCTGTTGCTCTGGACTGGGACATTTTGGCGTGATGAACCGACACAGCTCAGGGGATGTGAGTGAGTGAGTTAGGTTTAACGCCGCTTTTAACAGTATTCCAGTTATATCACGGTGTGTCAGCTTAATGTGGGAGGAAAGCCCGAAGTGATGCAGGTCTCGGACGTTTACCGCTTCGATGAAACCCACGAGCACGGATATGGTGCTGACAAACCTAGAAACATAATCTTGGCGAACCGGGATTCGAATCCACAATCATAGGTTTCTGGCGTACCCAAGGGACGCAACTCTGCACAGCGAATCGCGGCGCCTTAGGGAATGATCAATTAAGGCAATAAATGTCATACTATAAATAACATTAATTAACGGAAAGTGATATGGGAGCCCAGGTTTGCTGGCAGTCGATATACAATGAAATGTTGGTGAGGATTAACAACGGGGATGAGCGTCTTATAAATAATGGCAATTAAGTTATGGAGACATATACATGCAAACATCTTAACTGCAAAAATGTCATAGAAGATGAGAAGCATGTCCTTTTATTCTGTCCCCTTTACGACGAAATACGTTTTAGCCTCATCAACAAGTGCAATAGTTTATGGATAGATTTTACTTCTTTGACAGAGCAAGATAAACATATTAGGATTCTATAAACTGATGACCTCACCTTTTACTGTCCAAGAACCTGCCATGATATTTTATATACCCGGAGGAATATTTTATATCATTGAGTCTTAAACATTGTATTGCATATTAATGTATGTATATTTTAATACACTCTCTCGAAAAAGAAACGCAACCCCTATATTTTCAAGATGTTTATCTCAATATTCAAGTTATTATAACACACTTATTATTGAAGACAACAACATGAAATTTGGCATGGTGGCAGTACAGTTATGCAAGTTTAAGTCCAGGCTTCGACAGCATTGCACCTCCTTGGAACAGAACGGATTAGACGCCGGATTCTTTCCTAGGGATTGCTCTCCACTCCTCCTGCAGTGCAACGGCTAGTGCATCCAACGTCTCGGGCGGCGGTGTACGTGCACGTACTCGTCGATCCAGATAATCCCAAAGATGTTCGATTGGGTTGATGTCTGGTGATCGGGAGGGCCATGGTAACACGTTGACGTTAGAATTCTGGAGAAAATTCACTGTTGCATGAACAGTGTGCGGCTGGGCGTTGTCGTGTTGATAGAGCTCCCTCTGTTGGTCGATAATCGGCAGAAGATGAGGCTGTAAAACGTCATTGATATAGCGCTGGGCTGTCAAATTGCCACAAATGATCACCAAGTCTGATCTTTGGTTGTAAGACTGGCTCCCCACACCATGACGCTCCCTCCACCAAATCTGTCGACCTGCCGAACACATTTCGGGGCAAAACGTCCGTTTCCTCTTCTATAGACACGCTGTCTTCCGTCACGGTGTTGTAAGCGAAAACGTGATTCGTCACTAAACCAGACGCGCCTCCAGTTTCTGAGGGTCCATATCCGAACGTTGGTGCACCACCTGAGTCGTTGGCGTCGATGTTGGTGGCGTAAAACAGGTCCAATAAATGGTCTTCTTGCACGTAGACCGGCCTCTCGTAGACGGTTCCTAATTGTTTGTGCGGACACTCTTCTCAAACCTGGCACCTATGTTGCAGTGACGGTAGATGTGGCTAGCCGATTACGTAGATGGTTGACCCGGATGAATCGATCCTGAGGTGGTGTGGTAACACTTTGCCTACCACTTCTGGGGCGATCTTCAGTTGCATGAAACTGGGTGTATTATTGAGGTGCCAGGCAACGTTTCCAAAGCTTTGTCCGGCCTCAATACGACAAATTGCGATATTTCGATCTGCAGCACTCAACCGTGGCATATTCGACCTTGCCTTTCGGTGAAAATGATAGAGTGAATTGCTAATCAACACGTGCTTTTATAAACCCATACTTCTACTGCTCTTTCCATGAATTGCACGTGCATGAGGCTTTTGGCATGGGCCACGTGAAAATTTTGCTCACTATGATAAAAGTAACAATAAAATGCCCTTGTGCACGAAAGTTAATGTGTTTGGGCGCTTACGTTAATAAACAGTGTACATGGTATACGTGCATATCAGAAAAACTGTATTTACAATCAACATTTTTCTCTTTGGGGCTTTCTAACATTTTCAGACTGGGGTTGCGTTTCTTTTTTGAGAGAGTGTATTTAGCTTTTGTTTCTTTTTTTTTACTATGTGCCTGTTTACAATGTACCGTCTCTCATAAATCGCTGTGCGATTGGTTGTATACAACTTTAATGTAACTATATTTTTAATTTGTTTTAACAAAAAGGTGGTATACAAGTGAGACGTTAATAAAATCTTCTTCTTCTACATGTCATGGCTACAGGGTATTTAGCCTTTGGAATTAAATGTTCTTCAGACAATTGTTGTCCCAAATCAGTCGCTATGACAACACCATCACAACACCTGCATCACCGAGCACCCATTCATCAACCCGCACCCATCTTACCCAAGCTAGCTACTCCTCTTCACCCAGTCCATCAAACCTCATTCATACCTTAACCCAATAACACTGACATTCAAGCTTGTTTTCATTCCCTAATATCCCCATATTTCCCAACATCATATATACCATACCAGTACTAGCAAGCTCACATACGCTCATGGGTGCGGTGGGGTAGCCTAAGCGTTAAAGCGTTCTCTTGTCACGCTGAAGACCCTGGTTCGATTCCCCATGGGTACAATATGTGAAGCCCATTTCTGGTGTCCCCCGCGTGATATTGCTGGAATATTGCTAAAAGCGGCGTAAAACCATACTCACTCACTCACATACGCTCATGCACGTTGTAATAACCTTGACCGAGACTTTATACCCTATTTCACCCAACCGCACGCATGGTCTTTAGCCATCGCTGTCCACGCTCACCTTGTTTAAAAATCATTTCAGCCCTGGATACCTAGGTCGTAATGACATCAACAGATTCCGCTCTGTTATCTTCACATTCAAAGTTGAACATGATCGATATGCTATTCACCAAGGGTAAATCGTTATCGATCAGGGCATGCTCATCTCCTTCGCAAAAGCCAACATGAGAGCGTAGCTAATTATCCATGGCTGTGACAAAGAGCTTTATCCTTGACTGTGATGAATCCACTGAAGCATTTCGTCAGCGTCTGATCAAAGCATAAATTGACGTACACATAGACTGCACAATATAATAGCTTTACTTAAGTTTCTTGAATCCATCAATTATGGAACGACACAGTTGAAGAGTACAGGACTACCAATGAGACTGTTTTGAAATTGTCTCTACCCAAGCTGATGGTGACAAATGTTGCAGTAACTCGTTATTGCCATTATGTATTACCTATGAGAAAGCTAACAATGTAATCGAACTTGGTTAGTTTTTGATATCTCCGTTGGTACACATTGAAGCATATTCATCGATCGTCAATAGATCACAAGTGGAAGGCGCCAAGGCAACGGGTTCCATGTGTTTGACTTGACTTTCAGCGCCGCCGTGCAGGAGTCAGAGACACTGACTACAGGCAAACACAGACAGACTGCGACGTCCATAAGAACATGGCGGATACCATCACCGTCAACGTGAGTGGACGGCGGTTCGAGATAGGACGGGATGTCTTGTCCAGATTCCCTGATTCTACACTTGGGCGTCTGACGTCATCCACACAGAAGGAAGTCTTCTTCGAGAGACCCATGTCTGGGTTCAAGTCTGTTCTTGGGTACCATCAGACCGGGCACCTGCATGTACCGGCTTCCATGTGTCTCGGTGCTGTACAGGTAAGTCTTTTTTTTTTTTTTTTTTATATATTTGTTGTTGTTTTGCACTCAGCAATATTCCAGTTCTATGATGGCGGTCTGTAAATAATCGAGTCTGGACCACACAATCCAGTGATCGATATCTTGAGCATCGATTCACGCAATTGGGATACGATGACATGCATCTATTAGGTCAGTGAGTCTAACCATCCGATCCCGTTAGTCGCCTCTTAAGATAATCAAGGGTTGCTGAAGACCTTTTCTAACCCGGATCTTCAGTGCTCTGTACAGGTAAGTGAAGGATGTGTAAGTCTGTGTTCAAGTCTGCCCTGGGGCACCATCAGAACAGGAACCTGGATGCACCAGCTTCTATGTGTCTCGGGTCTGTACAGGTAAGTGAAGGGTGTGCGTACGTCAGAATATATCACTCCTGGTGTACATCAGAACGGGCACCCGCATGCACCAGCTTCTATGTGTCTCGGGTCTGTACGGGTAAGTGAAGGGTGTGCGTACGTCTGAATATATCACTCCTGGTGTACATCAGAACGGGAACCTGTATTCTCCAGCTTCTATGTGTCTCGGGTCTGTACAGGTAAGTGAGGCGTGGACGTACGTCAGAATATATCACTCCTGGTGTACATCAGAACGGGCACCTGCATGCACCAGCTTCTATGTGTCTCGGGTCTGTACAGGTAAGTGAAGGGTGTACGTACGTCAGAATATATCACTCCTGGTGTACATCAGAACGGGAACCTGTATTCTCCAGCTTCTATGTGTCTCGGGTCTGTACAGGTAAGTGAGGCGTGGACGTACGTCAGAATATATCACTCCTGGTGTACATCAGAACGGGCACCTGCATGCACCAGCTTCTATGTGTCTCGGGTCTGTACAGGTAAATGAAGGGTGTACGTACGTCAGAATATATCACTCCTGGTGTACATCAGAACGGGCACCCGCATGCACCAGCTTCTATGTGTCTCGGGTCTGTACAGGTAAGTGAAGGGTGTACGTACGTCAGAATATATCACTCCTGGTGTACATCAGAACGGGCACCTGCATGCACCAGCTTCTATGTGTCTCGGGTCTGTACAGGTAAGTGAGGGGTGTACGTACGTCTGAATATATATATCACTCCTGGTGTACATCAGAACGGGCACCTGCATGCACCAGCTTCTATGTGTCTCGGGTCTGTACAGGTAAGTGAAGGGTGTACGTACGTCTGCATACATCACTCCTGGTGTACATCAGAACGGGAACCTGCATGCACCAGCTTCTATGTGTCTCGGGTCTGTACAGGTAAGTGAAGGGTGTACGTACGTCAGAATATATCACTCCTGGTGTACATCAGAACGGGCACCTGCATGCACCAGCTTCTATGTGTCTCGGGTCTGTACAGGTAAGTGAAGGGTGTACGTACGTCAGAATATATCACTCCTGGTGTACATCAGAACGGGAACCTGTATTCTCCAGCTTCTATGTGTCTCGGGTCTGTACAGGTAAGTGAGGCGTGGACGTACGTCAGAATATATCACTCCTGGTGTACATCAGAACGGGCACCTGCATGCACCAGCTTCTATGTGTCTCGGGTCTGTACAGGTAAATGAAGGGTGTACGTACGTCAGAATATATCACTCCTGGTGTACATCAGAACGGGCACCCGCATGCACCAGCTTCTATGTGTCTCGGGTCTGTACAGGTAAGTGAAGGGTGTGCGTACGTCTGAATATATAACTCCTGGTGTACATCAGAACGGGAACCTGTATTCTCCAGCTTCTATGTGTCTCGGGTCTGTACAGGTAAGTGAGGGGTGTACGTACGTCAGAATATATCACTCCTGGTGTACATCAGAACGGGCACCTGCATGCACCAGCTTCCATGTGTCTCGGGTCTGTACAGGTAAGTGAGGGGTGTACGTACGTCTGAATATATATATCACTCCTGGTGTACATCAGAACGGGCACCTGCATGCACCAGCTTCTATGTGTCTCGGGTCTGTACAGGTAAGTGAAGGGTGTACGTACGTCTGCATACATCACTCCTGGTGTACATCAGAACGGGAACCTGTATTCTCCAGCTTCTATGTGTCTCGGGTCTGTACAGGTAAGTGAGGCGTGGACGTACGTCAGAATATATCACTCCTGGTGTACATCAGAACGGGCACCTGCATGCACCAGCTTCTATGTGTCTCGGGTCTGTACAGGTAAGTGAAGGGTGTACGTACGTCAGAATATATCACTCCTGGTGTACATCAGAACGGGAACCTGTATTCTCCAGCTTCTATGTGTCTCGGGTCTGTACAGGTAAGTGAGGCGTGGACGTACGTCAGAATATATCACTCCTGGTGTACATCAGAACGGGCACCTGCATGCACCAGCTTCTATGTGTCTCGCGTCTGTACAGGTAGGTGAAGGGTGTGCGTACGTCTGAATATATCACTCCTGGTGTACATCAGAACGGGAACCTGTATTCTCCAGCTTCTATGTGTCTCGGGTCTGTACAGGTAAGTGAGGCGTGGACGTACGTCAGAATATATCACTCCTGGTGTACATCAGAACGGGAACCTGTATTCTCCAGCTTCTATGTGTCTCGGGTCTGTACAGGTAAGTGAGGCGTGTGCGTACGTCTGAATATATCACTCCTGGTGTACATCAGAACGGGAACCTGTATTCTCCAGCTTCTATGTGTCTCGGGTCTGTACAGGTAAGTGAGGCGTGGACGTACGTCAGAATATATCACTCCTGGTGTACATCAGAACGGGAACCTGTATTCTCCAGCTTCTATGTGTCTCGGGTCTGTACAGGTAAGTGAGGCGTGGACGTACGTCAGAATATATCACTCCTGGTGTACATCAGAACGGGAACCTGTATTCTCCAGCTTCTATGTGTCTCGCGTCTGTACAGGTAGGTGAAGGGTGTACGTACGTCAGAATATATCACTCCTGGTGTACATCAGAACGGGAACCTGTATTCTCCAGCTTCTATGTGTCTCGGGTCTGTACAGGTAAGTGAGGGGTGTACGTACGTCAGAATATATCACTCCTGGTGTACATCAGAACGGGAACCTGTATTCTCCAGCTTCTATGTGTCTCGGGTCTGTACAGGTAAGTGAGTGGTGTACGTACGTCAGAATATATCACCCTTGGTGTACATCAGAACGGGAACCGGTATTCTCCAGCTTCTATGTGTCTCGGGTCTGTACAGGTAAGTGAGGCGTGGACGTACGTCAGAATATATCACTCCTGGTGTACATCAGAACGGGAACCTGTATTCTCCAGCTTCTATGTGTCTCGGGTCTGTACAGGTAAGTGAGGCGTGGACGTACGTCAGAATATATATATCACTCCTGGTGTACATCAGAACGGGCACCTGCATGCACCAGCTTCTACGTGTCTCGGGTCTGTACAGGTAGGTGAAGGGTGTACGTACGTCAGAATATATCACTCCTGGTGTACATCAGAACGGGCACCTGCATGCACCAGCTTCTATGTGTCTCGGGTCTGTACAGGTAAGTGAGGGGTGGACGTACGTCTGAATATATCACTCCTGGTGTACATCAGAACGGGCACCTGCATGCACCAGCTTCTATGTGTCTCGGGTCTGTACAGGTAGGTGAAGGGTGTACGTACGTCAGAATACATCACCCTTGGTGTACATCAGAACGGGAACCCGCATGTACCAGCCTCTTTATGTCTCGGGTCTGTAAAAAGTTAAGGGAAGGGATTGTGTCCGTCTCTGGGTACCATCAGATCGTGCACCTTTCCACAAATCTGACCCGGGATCTAACCCCACATGTAAGAACCACGAGATGATTTTTTATTTTATATATTCAACAGGACGAACTGGCATTCTGGGGTCTCACGATAAATGACCTTGAACCTTGCTGCAAAAGAAATCTAAACAAATTCAACAAACTACAAAGGGACTTGGAATCTTTTGAAAAGTCAATGAAAGATGACCATGACACATTCAATAGTCGTGGATGTTGCCAGTTAACCGGATCCCGTCTTACAAAAGGAAGGCGGTGTCTCTGGAGCCTCCTGGATCAACCGTTTTCTTCAATTCTTGCGCGAGTAAGTGTTTTCATAAAACGATTAACATGCCATGACCAAATTTAACCCAAAAAAACAACACAGACATAAAGTTCTGCAGCCTACTGTTCATGCTGGGCCAACAAATGGCGTCAATTAATATAACTGCAGCGATAATTACAATTTTAGCTATTGTCAGATCTTATCTTCAGAGAGTCAATCAAGTGAATGGTTCAGTAGTGAAAGGGGTGGTAATTCGCCGTTCAGACGTGTGCCCCTTAGACGTGTAAGGATCCGATCAAATCCAGGATTTGGCCATTCTCTGCCACCTTATCATTTTCGCCCTCATTGAGATGACATGCCAAGGGGCGTAGCTGCCTTTTGGCGCAACAACCACGTGCCTACACTTGCATTTTCTACAAGAAATGAAATATCTTTTTTTTATTTTTAATAATATGTTATTGTGGCTGGAAATCAGTGTACTGTGGACAATGATCACCCTTTTCTTTTACGTACACAGAGACATTCATGTGAGAACTGAATGTGTCATTGAAAGAGATGCCTTGACTTCATTTAAGATTTTCATATCTTGATTTGAGTCTCGAAAGAGGACTCGCTTAAACGTGACTTTCGTAATCAGGACACCTTCTATGATTCTCTCTTATCATGTCTTCCATGTAGCCAAATAATTTGGCACCAAACCTACCAATAATAATACTTGGTATTCAACCAAGTCAGCGAGCCTGACCACCCGATCCCGTTAGTCGCCTCTTACGACAAGTATGGGTTGCTGAAGACGTATTCTAACCCGGATCTTCAGGAGAGGAAAACATTCCCCCAATCCCCGCAAGTTAACGCGAGCTTCGTGGTTTCACATTTACGGTATTCAAGTGGTGCCTGCACTTGTATTTAGTCCTAGCCACGCCACTGATGCCGTAATCCAACCCAACTCACTCACTCACTCCATGAACACTGGAACTTGAAATTATAATCTAATGTTCCGAAACTAAAACGATAAAAGGAATGTAATAGGGATAGTACATCATGACAATTTGTAACAGACAGCCGTGACAGAGTAACTATACTTCTTTCAGATATATTTCGCGGTGTCGTCGTTGATGGTGGTCCTGTCTGTGGTGGTGGTGTTTCTGCAGTCGATGGAGGAGTTCAAGAAAGACATGACCCTTGAATTGTGGAGGCTGTACTACGGTGCTCAGTTCCAGGAACATGAAGATCAGATTAGAGTCATGTTGAGTTCAAGCTCAGCCGAAATAAATGAACTCCTTGCACAACACAATCAAACTGCCGAGGAACTGATAACAAATTTTACTCTCCCTGATGATGTGCTCTTTGAAAATGAAGTATTTGACAACATCGGGATATTCTGCACATCCTTCTTCATGCTGGAGCTCCTCCTGAGAGTGCTGTCCTGCCCCAGTATCACCCGTTTCTTCAAGTCCATCATGAACTGGGTGGACATTCTGGCTGTTGCCTTTGCTTGCAGTAACGCGATACATCATCATGTCAGTCCGCCAGAAAGGTTCAGGGAAAACTCACTGGATTATCTCGGAGCGTTTCAGATACTCAGAGTCCTTAGGCTCTTCAGACTCGCGAAACATGTCACAGGGGCAAAGGTGTTGAAATACACCGTGTTCACGTCCTGCAAGGAGTTTGGTTTCATGGTCCTGTTGATAGTTATCAATACGATTGTGTTTGGTACTCTCGTGTTCACCGTTAACGAAGAGACGATGAAAGATTTGCCGTTTGCTGCCTGGTGGGCCATCGTCACCATGACAACAGTTGGTTATGGGGACGTCGTACCTTCGAACTACCCGGGCAGATTTGTTGGTGTGTTGTGTGCGGCTATGGGAATAATGACCCTAGCTCTGACAGTTCCTCTGCTGGTGGACAATTTTGTCACGTTCTACTCGTATGCTTCCGACTTCCGGGGCAGTGAAAAGGTGACCAAGCTGAAAAAGGACAAGGTGTCGCCGGTGATGGTAAGCGAGGATGACAATCCTACAACCAATCGCGATAAATGAGATATACACATCAAAAATAGTTAAGCATCCCCCAGTAATTTTCTGAAAAGTAAATAAGAATCACGAACATGATTAAATGGACAGAGTGACGTTGGAAAAGGCATTATTTTTGTAAAGAGCAACCATCTGAGAAAAAACAAAACAAAACAATTTTGAGCCAGAATGAAATTTTAATTGAGATATGGTTGCCCAAACACCGGCACTGTTTTTACCACAACACAACACCCTCTATAAGTATAGCACTGCCAATCTGGAACAACGATACATTATTTCACATAATGAATAAAATGTGTATTAACGTCCATTAATGACATTCGTGTGTCAAAAAGTTTAATAACGGGTGGGGCCATCGCGTGCCCGGATGACAGCCTCGACCCTTCTCCTCATCCCTCCAGTCAGACGTCGGATCATCTCGAGGGGAAATAGCGCCCATTCATGATGCAAAGCTGCTACCAATTCATCCGGATTGTGTGGAGGAGGGTCCATTGCCTGCACTCTACGCCCAAGAATGTCCCAAATGTGCTCTATGGGGTTACGATCAGGACTCATTGCAGGCCAAGGTAGAGTTGCAATGGCGTTGTTTGCCAAATATGCCGTCACAAGTCTTGAACGGCGGGTCTAGCGTTATCGTCCATGAACAGGTTTTGATGCCAGAGGGTAGTTGTAAAAATGGGGAACAACAACTGGTTCCAGAACTTCCCGGATGTAACGTTCACCATTGAGATTGCCCCGAATAGTCAGTCATAAGGTCCAGCTTGCAATCAAGGGATATGCACCCCCTTATCATCACAGAGCCACCACCAAACGGAACAGTTGGTTTAATGTTCCTGGGGGTGTATGCTGTACCCTGGTGCCTCCACACTCTCGTTCGGTCATCATTCACATGCAGCTGAAACCTGCTTTCATCTGACCAATGGATACGTCTCCATGTTCTGAGGTTCCACCCTTGGTGTGCCAAACGCCATTGTAATCGCAGTCCCCGATGGCGTTGTACCAGTAGGGGGCGTTTGATGACCTTCGGGCCCTCATTCCAGCAGCTCTTCAAAGATTCCGCAATGTTTGGTAAGACAGACGTCTATGGGGTAACCAAGTACGCCTCAGGAAGGTGCTGCCCGCAGTAATCGCAGTAATTTCCTGTTTTTACGTCCTGATGTCACAAGAGGGCGTCCTGTATGTGGCAGGTCCTTTACTGAATTGGGCGTGTTTTCGCACTAGTCGGCTGATTACTGAGTAATGGTAGCCCAATTGACGTCCAATCGCCTTAAGACATCACTGCAGCATGCATACCAATGATTCTCCATCTAAGTGCTTCACATAATCAGACATTTTCAGACTCGACGTTTACACAAATAAGTTTACACTGTTTTCAGTTCCAGTATTTGTTGCGTGAACTTACTGTCTTTTGCCGAATGCTAGGGAGGCATGATTCACGTGCAAAACACGGGAAATTGAGACGTCACCATCACGCATGAACCGTCACATTATTCGGACACAACAACATTAATATCATAATTAGTATTTGCTATGAACATTAAGTGAGTGAGTATGGTTTAACGCCGCTTTTAGCAATATTCTAGCAATGGGTTCCACACATTGTACCCATGTCGGGAATCGAACCGGTGTCTTCGGCGTGACGAGCGGACGCTTTATCCACTAGGCTACCCGACCGCCCTATGCTTTATGGTACTGTATTATGATACATAGCATTAGGGGGTGCTTACCTTTTTTTGATGTGTATACATTGTGCGGACATTCTGTTGGATACGATTGATATCATGTATGTTAAACAGGTTTTAAAGTGGAAGTACCGCGTATTGCTTTATGTAGTGGTTTGACATTACAGCTTTGCTTTTATTAGATTATTCTTTTTCACTGAGCCAAAGGGGAAATATCTGAGGTCCGTACATGTCCGTATCAATGGTAATGAATTATACAAATTCAAGATTGTGACTACAACGTTGGCGCCTGATCGATTGGGCTCATTCCCACTCAACCAACGTGTTGGAGGGATCAACAGACACCTTTTGTTTGGGATGATTATCACGCCTGACTGGCTTTGTAACAAAAGCAATAGACAATAGGAGTTAGTGGGAAGTCTCCCATGATTAGATTCCTCATGTTGCAATCACAAGAAGGCGCTAGACTGTCGTCATCACACTTCGTTTGAGCGTGGATCTATTTTCTTACCACTGTGACATTTTTCGCCTTTTGTGCTCTCCTTGCCTATACTACTTGGAAACATAGTCCATTAAGAAATAAATAATGAAATGGGTGTTTTCATATTGGCCATGTTACAGGTCTTCGGCCAGTCCTGTTTTGGCCATCGGCCAGTCCTGTTTTGGTCATCGGCGTTGCCAATATGACTGACCTTGGACCTATAACAAGGCCAATATGAAAGCACCATATAATACCATAATATTGATGTGGACAGGAGTACTTTATAACTGCCTGTGCTTTCAGCCATGACGACATTGTTGTTGCTATTGATTTTTAGCTTGAATACAATCTATTACGCAGTCCGGTTGCAGTTTCTGTCGAAATAATCCGCTATTTCCGATTGTAATTATTCGGGTATCACGAAGGATTCCCAGGAATTAGGTACCGATTCCAAGAATTAATGGACGTATTCAAAGAGATAAGGGATGTGGGGTAATCATGTTTCATTTACAAAGCAGAAACACGAGAACAAAACTTAATAAATAAATTGAAAACAACAAAACTTGCTTCTTAATTTATTTAGATGTATTCACATGTATTGTCCGAAACAACAACCTGAAACAGAGAGGAAATACTTCAAGGTGAGGCAGTCTAAACATCTGGGTTTGTTTTTTTTTGGTTCGGTTTGTTGTTTTACGCCGCACTCAGCAATATTCCAGCTATATGACGGCGGTCTGTAAATAATCGAGTCTGGACCAGACAATCCAGTGATCTACATCATGAACATCGATCCACGCAATTGGGATCGATGACATGCATCAACCAAGTCAGCGAGCCTGACCTCCCGATCCCGTTAGTCGCCTTTTACGACAAGCATGGGTTGCTCTTCAGGAGAGGAAAACATTCTCCCAATCCCCGCAAGTTAACGCGAGCTTCGTGGTTTCACATTTACGGTATTCAAGTGGTACCTGCACTTGTATTTAGTCCTAGCCACGCCATTGATGCCGTTATCCAACCCATAGTCGCCTTTTACGGCAAGCATGGGTTGCTGAAGACCTATTCCACCCCGGATCTTCACGGGTCCTAAACATCTGGGCGGTCGAGTGGTTAATATATAAAACTGCAGAATAATGAGTCTCGATTATCCACCGAAACAGGTTCCATTGGGCGTAAATTGCAAAATATCGGTTAAAATCCATATGACAGGATCAATGACGACACAAGGCGTTCGCGGGAAGGGTTAGCATGTCTTGCCAACTGGTAGCACCCGCCACTCGCACACGCACGGTTCAATCCTCACATTCATACAGTACTCATTTCTGAACACCCAGTAACTGCAGTCAAATACACAGATTTAAACACAAAGTGTTATGAATTTGGCAATAGGAATGAATCATCATGTTTGTTTTCTTACAAAATACAATAAATTTACGTTTCTGTTAGGCTAGTCCTCATTTTGATTGGTACCATATGTTCCCGTTTTTTTGTCAGACGAACAATTGACTTGCCTTTGCATGTGTTAATGACGGTGCCACCGCTGCTGCACGGTACGCTCACCTTTTCGCGAACACTTGGTTCCATCATAATTTGATAGTAATTCATAAACACATGCTTATGATTTAGTCGGAATCGTAATGAATTTCCTATGATTGAGGAAATGGTTTTGAGATTTTAATTAATACACACTTGTTTGTTCCCTGAGTTTATGGGAGCGGTCTGGTAGCCTAGTGGTTAAAGCGTTCGCTCTTCACGCCGAAGACCCCGGTTCGATTCCCGACATGTGTGAAGCCCATTTCTGGTGTCCCCCGCCGTGATGTTGCTGGAATATTGCCAAAAGCGGCGTAAAACCTTACTCACTCACTCCCTCCCTGTGTTTATGAGTGAGTTCGTGGTGTAGTTATAGTGTGGCACATCAGCTAATGTTGGGGGAGACCCTAAAACGATGCAGGCTGTACCTCTTTGATGATCAAACCCTTGAACACAAGTGTACTGTGGGCAAACTAAGGATCATTCTCGGGGCGCATCTACGATTCTGACCACGATAAGCGGATGCTTTTACAGCTCAACAATGAAACACAGAAAACTCGGATGCACCAGATCATCGTCTCTATCCCTGGTTTACACGAAGACAGTGTATGTTCACAAGATCCTGCTGCAGCGATGTACCCACCATTACGTTGGTCTCTCTATCGGAATATGAGCTCGCGTTCTTCATCTGAAATAAGACATTAAGCGACAGTGAGTGAAGTGGTGTGAAAATTCCCTATAAAGATCACAGCAAAGTGACATAAATAGTTTAAGGGTTCAGAAACTTAACATTTTGTTTGTTTGCTTGTTGTTTCAAGCCGCACTCTGCAATATTCCAGCTGCATGACGGCGGTCTGTGAATAATCGAATCTGGACCAGACAATCCAGTGATTGATGTCATGAGCATCGATCCACGCAATTGGGATACGATGACATACAACCAAGTCAGCGAGCCTGACCATTAGTGACCACATGGACCAGAGCATCTGTCTGACATCTTCTAGGAACGAGTTGAAGCTCCACCTCCCCCCCCCGCCCCCTTGATATTTTGTTCATACTAATCCCACCCGATATTGATAATGCGTACAACAATATTTGATCATTTGACATACCGTTATTATCAAGGCTTGGTTTTCCCTCTCTGAGTTTTGCGTCAAGTGTAAAGCCTTCATCGAGGTCTATCTCCGTTCGTGGCGCCTTGGTAACCATGGTTGAGGCTTCCTGTTTTGCTGTTCCAAAAAATAATAGAGATCAACAAAAGTTATTTTCCTTGAAACTGATATTTTGTGTGTGGACATATCCAAACATATCCAAACCTATGTCACGTAACCTATCACACAAATAACACAATAACCTGACACAATAATACCCTGTGTGCTGTAGGTCTGCCGCGAAAAAGAGAAACCTCAAACTACAAAACTCCTTGAACATGTTTGCCTCCTCCTTCCAGAGAGAACAAGCATGATTGGTTGGTTGGTTTGTCATATTCCAGCTATATGACGGCGGTCTGTAAATAATCGAGTCTGTACCAGACAATCCAGTGATTGATATCTCGCAATTGAACGAGCATAAAATACTCATATCCTCTGCCAAAATGACATGTCCGGTTGCTATGGAAACTTGAAAAATATTGTTTTAGAAAAATCTCAAACTATCAAAAGGCACAAGTTTACCACTAGGCCTATCTATTTGCCAAGTTTGGTGAAGACATATTGTACGGTTTTCAAGATCTGCCTCGGAAAGGAGCACTACCGTCATTTTCGGTCAGTCAAAGTCGTTGCCATGGATACTCGAAAAATAAAGTTCACCACTAGATTTATCTATATGTCAAGTTTGGATAAGATATATCGCCTATTTTTTTAGTTCTGCTCTCGAAACGAAACGTGACGGACGGACGGACGGACGGTAGGACGGAAGGGCGGACGGACTGCACCAATTCCCTGATCCGCCTTCCACTTCGTGGCGGGGGATAAAAGTAGAATTATAGGATATGAACTGAGTTGAGTTGGGTTTCTGCTTGTACAACTCCGGATATTGTGATAACCACTGAGATACCATGCCGCAGTTTAACATGGACACACCACTCAGATACAGTATACTGACACCGATTAATCCCGAGCACCAGGCAGGGTAACAAAAAGTTCCATATTTGAACGTCTTTTGGTATGACGCGGTCGAGGATGGTACCTTCCGGTCCCCTTGTTGGCGCTTTGTCCACTAACACCATGGGGAGTCTGCAAGTTGGTTAGTTTGTTGTTTTAAACCGCACTCAGCAATATTCCAGCTATGTGACGGCGGTCTGTACATAATCGAGTCTGGACCAGACAATCCAGTGATTGATAGCAAGTCTTGATGTAGTGACCGAAATCATATTCTGACCGGACGTCCAGGGCCCCGTTCCAAAAATCGATCTCAGCTTCATGATGATCGTAACTCCCATACTTTAACCTGGGCTTACGATAAGCATAACACTAAGATCGCTTTGTGGAATGGGTCCCAGCTTCCCCTACATGAATAACCTGATGAACAAAGTGAGTGAGTGAGTGAGTTGGGTTTAACGCCGCTTTTAAAAGTATTCCAGTTATATCGCGGCGTGTCAGCTTTGTGTTGGAGGAAAGCCCGAAGTGATGCAGGTCTCAGACGTTTACCACTTCGGTGAAACCCACGAGCACGGGTATGGTGCTGACAAACCTAGAAACATAATCGGGGCGAATCGGGATTCGAACCCACAATCATAGGTTTCTGGCGTGCCCAAGAGACGCAACTCTGCACAGCGAATCGCAGCACCTTAGATGAACAAAGTGCCCCCTTTGTGCCCCCCGTGCCCCCTTGATGAACAAAGACTTTGCCAACGTATTAAAAGTTTTCTTTTCTTGAAATGATACTATTCTCACCTTGATGCTGCTGCAACCATTGCTGTTTCTTCTTAGCTAGCCACCTTTGTTTCCACCCGTCGCCACCACCACCATGACCACCATGACCCCCATGACCGCCATGACTGTGACTGTGGCGTCGATGGTGATGAGTTGTCGCATCTGAAATTTAATTCTGAATTTGTATAAGCCATTTTCGGTTCACCTGACTGAAGGTCAAGTGGCCGGTTTGTCCATCGTATGTCGCCGTTGTAGATATTTTCATAGAAAGCACTGCGATGCTGCTGAAACGTGGCGCGTTTGTAACCCATTGGTTCATGATCAATAGGTGTAAGTCATATTATTAAAAGACCGCCTCCGTGGCCTAATGGTAGAGCGTACGCCCGGAGAGCGGAAGGTCCGGAGTTCGATACCCGGCCGCGTCATACCAAAAGACGTTAAAAGATGGTACTTGTTGTTACCCTGTCTGGCGCTCGGCATTAAGGGTGGCCTAAAACAAGGACTGGTCGGCTCGGAGTCAGTGTACTGTGTCTGAGTGGGGTATTCATGTTAAACTGCGGCATGGTATCTCAGTGGGCTAGCACTTTAAATCGGCATCAGTCCGGTCTAGTACAAGCAGCCACACACACTATTGCTATATAAATGCAATCATCTTGGACGCGACGTTAAACCCCATTTCCTTCTCAAAAATAATTAGCCCATTGATGCTGTGAGAAGCTACAGCATGTTGGAGTTATTGTAGTGGCTGTGGTTATAGATCTTCACTTTGATCTCCATAGTTAATGATTTTGTTTGTTTGTTTTTGTTGTTTAACGCCGCAATCAGCAGTATTCCAGCTATATGACGGCGGTCTGTAAATAATGGAGTCTGGACCAGACAATCCAGTGATTGACATCATGATCATCGATCCACGCAATTGGGATCGATGACATGCATCAACCAAGTCATATAACCATATAAAATAGAAAATGGATAAAATAAGGGGAAATATGCAATGAATATAATCGATCATACTAAAACATTGTCATTGGAATCTTTGGTGTGCAATAATATATTTATGTTGCTCTAACAAGAACATGATCAATATGTGTCCCGGTTTTTTATCCTCCAAAAAGCAGGCCACTTTTCCTTACCATGGTGTTCCGGGGCTGCCTCCTCTTTTTTCGGCGTCTCTGCGGCCAACCCGGATTTTCCTTCTTTCCAGTTTTGCCACAGGCCACGAAGATATTTCTCTTTCTCCTCATCTGAGTATTTGTCCTCTGATACCAATCAGAGAAGTGAAATGAAGTATGAAAATTAGGTCATAATAAATTAATGATTTTCGGACTCATTAACAGTGTACCGTGATTGTGTGATTTCGTCCAGGTTCTCACATTGAACCCATGTCGGGAATCAAACCCGGGTATTTTGCGTGATGAGCGAACGCTTTAACCACAAGGCTACCCGACCGCCCCTTATTTAAAATAGGGAGTTGGCTTTATTTTACCCTGCATTAAACAGCTTTTCAGTTATATAATGCCGAATATGGAACACAAGCACCCGACTTTTTGTTATTGTTTCATGTTTACCGCCGCACTCATCAATATTTCAGTTACAGTACTGAAGATCGATACTCAGGATATCAATCACTGGATTGTCGGGCCCAAACTCGATTATTTACAGATCGCCGTCAAAGAGCTGGAATATTGCTGAAACGGCGTTAAACAACTAATAAACAAATAAATACAGTACTGAGGCACATACACAGTCGAGACAAACCAGTGATTGATATTATGAACAACGACCCAAGCCGTCAGGGTAGGATCATACGCAGTCGCCCAAATCACATATACTGAAGACAGGATCTAAAGGCTCGTATGAAGGTATGTCACGTGTACTCCTGGGACCCTTGGGTTGGTTACGGAGTTTGGGACAATTTGGCAAAACTTAAAGCAAATGTCATCAGCAGTTAACTGAGAAAACAATATGTGAAATGCCGTATTTCCTCCAAAATGAAATACCCTGGGGTACACCTGTGCTCCCTATATGTGTACAATGCACAATATCAACCATATTAAAATAGCGAATCCGTCATGAATGCGGCATAAAACCAAATTCACTCAGCCACCTTGGCTGATACGTAAACACTGCCATGAGAAGAAATGTTGTATGACGCCGGTTTGGTTTGTTGTTCAACGCCGCACTCAGCAATATTCCAGCTATATCACGGCGGGGGACCCCAGAAATGGGCTTCACACATTGTACCCATGTCGGAAATCGAACCCGGGTCTTCGGCGTGACGAGTGAACGCTTTAACCACTAGGCTACCCGACCGCCCCTTGGACCAGAGAAACCAGACTAAGTGTAACTGAATTTTTAACGGCAACGCCAGAGAATCACCAGTCTCGATTATCCTCCGAAAAAAGACTCCATTCAGCCTAAAAGGCAAACTTGCGGTAACAATTGTATGAATTGATCACTGAAAATAAGGGATGACACCAGTTGTTTGCGAAAAGCGGAGGCATGTGAAAGTATAAAACTCGATCTAAACCGATGGGCAAAAGTATACACTTGAAATTTGGATTTAACAAATTAATTACAAATGTTATTAAATTGTTACTTGTCGCTGAAACAAAGCAAACTTAAGGTCCAAAACCAAACTATGATATCCGTATCAAATACATCACCATCGAATAACCATGTCGTGTTTGTTTCATTTTTAGCCCCCATCAAACATGTTTGTTTTTTTACCGGTAGTGTATGTCATCACGGAATGAGGACAAACTTTGTTGGTTTTGTTTTTTGTTTTACGCCGCATTCAGCAATATTCCAGCTGTATGACGCTGGTCTTTAAATAATCGAGTTTGACCACACAATCCAGTGATTGATGTCATGAGCACCAATCCCCGAAATTGGGATACGATGACATGCATCAACCATGTCAGCTAGCCTGACCACCCGATCCCGTGAGTTGCATCTAACGACAAGCAGTGTCGCCTTTTACGGCAAGCATAGGTTGCTGAAGACCTCTTCTACCCCGGATCTTCACGGTTAGAAACTAAGATACAGCGCCTGACCAACCGAAGCCACAATTGTATATGGGCAACGTTTATTACAAGTATGAGCTACATGGGACATACACTGACCCAGAATCTCAACAGAACATCTGAAAATAGCCTAAGCGATTGGGTTAAAACATGTGAAAGATTGGCATATTTACGCTTGTTTGCTATTTGCTTCTCCAGGGCGTCAATCTGACCAGGCAGCTTGGCGGCCCAAGCCTCATTTTGTTTTACTGATTTCAACAATTGCTCTTTGCCTGGAATAAATACAAACCAAAACAAGCTGTTCACTTGTAACATAAACACTATATACAGATTATATAATATTAGCCGAATGTGTTTCTGAATCGTAGATATAATATATAAGGAATAAATACTTTCTTTTCCTAATATATCATGTTCAGGATACGAAAATACACATAGCTATAATATCATTAGCTTTATTTGCTCCAGCGGTTTACAACTTACGAAAGGCAAAAAAATCAAGAAGCGTTAAAAGTAAATATTCTCCCATTAGATACACACGAGTTCACTCAGTCAAAGTCTTCCTTATTCCCCGCACTTGTGATTATTAATATGTATGTCATATAGATAACAGAATCGATTGTAATCGTCAGTACTCCTATATTTGTTTGTTTGTATGTTGGTTAACGCCGCACTGAGCAATATTCCAGCTATATGACGGCGGTCTATACATAATCGAGTCTGGACCAAGCAATCCAGTGATTGACATCATGCTCCAGACTCGATTATGTAGAGACCTCCGTCATATAGCTGGAATATTGCTCAGTGCGGCGTTAAACAACAAACAAACAAACAAAACCTTCTTTGCAGTTTATATACATTTGCATATTTATCGTATTGGTTTATCGCAAGCATGTATGTGATAAACATAAGAATTATATAGTTCCTGGTATCCGTTGTCAAAATATTCTTCATTTCTTTGTATGCCAACGCTAAACTTAACTTACCATCGTTGATCTCCTTGTTGATCTTCTTGGTGAATGCATAAAGTTTGGATATATAAGCATCCATCTTGTCCAACTCCCCGTTCATTTTTTCAATCTCCATGGCTAGTGATGGAATCGCCTCGCTCAGCATTTCATTCTCCGTCACTGTGGAAGGGAAGCAATGGGTGCTGAGTGAGCTGGTGATCATGAGTGAGTAAGTGAGTGTGGTTTTACGCCGGTTTTGGGAATATTCCAGCAATATCACGGCGGGGGACACCAGAAATGGGCTTCACACATTGTACCCATGTCGGGAATCGAACCCGGGTCTTCGGCGTGACGAGCGAACGCTTTAACCACTAGGCTACCCGACCGCCCCTTGTGATCATGAACTTTACATGTGACATTGTTACTCATCATTGTTGTATTTTCATATGAACAAGCATTGTCGCCTTTTTCGGCAGCAATATTCAAGCTATATGACAGCGGTCTGTGAATAGTGGAGTCTGGACCACACAAACCAGTGATTGACATCATAGGCATCGATCTACGCAATTGGGATACGATGACATGCATCAACAAAGTCAGCGAGCATGACCACCCGATCCCGTTAGTCGCCTCTTACGACAAGCATCGTCGCCTCTATACGGATTGCATGGGTTGCTGAAGATCTATTCTTTACCCGGATCTTCTCGGGTCCAAGTGTTTAAGAACCACTGTAAAATAGTGCTGATATCGGGTGTTCGCCAAAAGGGGGGCGTATCAAGCCCGTCTGTGGCTCCCGTCACAAACACATGCAAGCGCAAGTTCACCTAAAAACTCGGGAACATGTTGTACAAGACAAAATAGTAAATTGCATTAGTCATCTCTTTTGTCAATGATGCGTTAGAATTCGGTACCGTGTCCTTTAGTAAGTATAGTAATACTGGCTTGGGTTGTGGGGTAGCCGAATGGTTAAACCTTTTTCTTGTCACACCACACGCCCGGGTTCGATTCCCTTGGCGTGAAACAATATTAATTCACTCACAACATTTAAGTGAGTGAGTGGGGTTTTGTTTTACGCCGCATTTAGCAATATTCCAGCAAAATCACGGCGGGGGACACCAGAAATGGGCTTCACACATTGTACCCATATCGGGATTCGAACCCGGGTCTTCGGCGTGACGAGCGAACGCTTTAACCACTAGGCTCCCCGACCGCCCCCACAACATTTTAAAAGAGAAGGTATTCATGTATATTTTTTTTACTTACTGTTCTTTTCGAGGGCCGATATCCTGGCGTCCAATGTGGTAGGGGCGATGCCCTGGTCCTCGGTTTCTGGAAACAATTCTGTTAACACGTACAATACAGAATACCAACGATTTGCAAGGGTGGGTGAGTTTTTACGCCGCTTTGAACAGCATTCCAGTTATATCACGCGCTTTCTTTTGTTTTAGTATAAATTTGATCACAGGAGAAAATAACATAAAACATGAAATACGTCATATGGAACACAGTATGGGGATATGTGAACACCGTTACGAAGTTGTTCAAACGTATGCCTGAATATATTTTTCTTTATGCTTGGTCACTTCAAACTTTCGATGTGTCCTTTAATTCCAAAACCAATAATCGACTTCTTTTCCAATAATATTTCCAAATCTGTATTATTATTTTTAAAATTTGCTTTAATAGCTTGGGATTATTTAGTCGGTATGCTGTCTCTATAAAAGAAAAAATGCTAAAAATATACGAGTACTGTGTTGTAAATTGTCTCTGCTTTTCTTTGAAGATTTGTACGTACTGGTGTTTAATTAGGTTGGAGAAGGACATATTTGATTTTTAATGATTTGATCTATATTTTAAATTCGAATTCTGCCTAGCAATTTGTGTTCATATCAGGAGTTATGATGAAGGGAGATGTAAAAGGTATGTATAAAAATACAATTACATTATATAAATTCAAAAGTACAAATTCGATTCAATCCGAGAAATGTTTGGTTCATTCAATGGGTCATCCTGAAATGTCTATTTTCATGTCCTTTTTTAGTGCTAGCTCACTGAGATATCATGCCGCAGTTTAACATGAATACCCTACCCAGACACAGTATACTGACTCCGAGGTGACCAGTCCTTTGTTTTAGCCCCTTAATGCCGAGCGTCAGGCAGGGTAACAACAAGTACCAACTTTTAACGTCTTTTAGGTATGACGCGACCGGGGATCGAATCCGACAATCCAGTGGTTGATATTGTGAGCAACGGTCGGGGTACGATGACAGGCAATCAACCAAGGCAGTACCCGATCCTGACTACCCGATCCATGTGGTCATCTCTTACGACCAGCCGGACATCATTTCTAACCCGGGTGGTTTGTTGGTTTACGCCGCACTAAGCAATATTCCAGCTATAAGACGGTGGTCTGTAAATAATGGAGCCTGGACCAGACAATCCAGTGATTAATATAATGAGCATCGATCAACGCAATTGGGAACGATGACATGCATCAAACCAAGTCAGCGAGTCTGACCACCCTATCCCGTTAGTCGCCTCCTACGACAAGCAAAGTCGCCTGTTACAGATCTACCCAGGCTCCTCACGGGTCATTTACCCCGGAATTCCCACGGGTGTACAATGCAGGGACACATCTTAACACAGGTTATACAACCAAACTTGTCATAAGTAATATACTCACCATACTCCTCAACCTTGTCCCCGTGGACAAACGCCGACGTTAGCACGACAGCACACACGACGAGAAACTTCATCTTCTCCGGTATGTTGAGTTGAACGATAGGCACCGCTTCTTATATACCATCTATGTATTCGTGATGAAACACATCCCTTACAGAGTCAGGCACACATGACGCGTGGAGAAACGTGTTCGTCTTTGAAGCAATATTGGTTTCTTTAAAATCTATGGGAACAAAAAGTCAAATATTCTTTCAGGTGTAAGAACTATCAGAAGAGACCTTGCTAGAACGCTAAAACAAACAAAAATACTTTACAAATGGTTTTTTTATGTGACCATGCTCAAGCACGAATTTTCCTCGTTACTTACTATGCATTGTTAAAAACCTTTTGTTGTATGTTTCTCAATAAGGCTATATATAGCTGACTATACTTCGCAGAGCTATCGATTGATCTGTGCTTGCAAATATACAATGGTATATTCTGTTTGAAGTTGATTTTACACTAACACTGTGGCTTTGTCAGCAAAATAAATTAATATTATTTTATATGATACACAGATTACAACAACACTGCAGCAAATATGAATTTGGTGATCCTTGCACCGTAAGGCTGGTTATTACTATTATTTTTATTATTATCTTTATTTTTATTATTTTTATTATTATTTTTTTATTATTTATTTATTTATTTATTTATTTATTTATTTATTTATTTATTATTATTAAAGGTTAAAATAAAAAACTGAATCGAAGAGGCTGGTTTGGCTCATCATCAGCTCAGTCAGCGAATGGGACTTGTCCCTGGAAGCGCCGTCTTGTCGAACCTAGACAAACATTCAGTCCAAGAAAATCAGTTATCATATTTGAAAATATGTATCCACAAAATCCCAGTAAAATCCAAATGGAGCCCAGTCCAATGCTTAATTTCAGGTTTGCAAAATCATTCCAGACTTCAGTCGGATACGGGTTTTTTATATTTATACTTTAGGGTCTGGGCGACAGACAAAGTCGGCCTATCAATAACTCTACTGAGAGGTCCGTAGGTACCAAACCGGGGGCACCGGAAACAATGGGGCGTCGGACGACTGTATGCTGAGGATGCAAGTGAAGCATTTCAAAAGCGAGGTCCGCTTACTTCACCTGCTTTTCTTGCATTTTGCCAATCACGTTGCCAATCCAAGGGAACAGCAAATTCAATTAAAAAAATATCTGAAAAAAATCAACTTCTAAAATTTAGATGAAAATAATTAATTTTATTATTTAAAACATTCATTCATACATCCTATTCACAACACAGTATTGGCAGGTTAAGATTTAATCTCAATGTCAAAAGTTTCTGATGAACTCTGAATGAAACAGAACATTGGCCTGACACCGAGATTAGCGCCAACCCCTCCACCCCTGAATCTAAAATACCATGTAAGTTTTCACTCAAGTCTCATTTGCTCACCCCTGAATTTTGAATACTACTTGATAAAAATCTTAAATGCACCTGCTGAATTCAATATACAAAGGGATAAATTTGACCACAAAGACCAAGAGAACACGTTCCTCGGTCATTAAAAGGTGCGATTTGAAGTTAAATTACTTAAATAAGTATAAAAAGAAAGAAACATCATTTCTAAGAACACCACTAATGATGTTTATACGTTGAATCTTCATACGAGATACGATTTTGTTTTACGTCCCACGTACCCCCAATCGCGCAAATCAAAAGGGGGTTGGCAGGCACAAGGTTGGTTGGTTGGTTGGTTGGTTGTTTAACGCCGCACTCAGCAATATTCCAGCTATATGACGGTGGTCTGTAAATAATCGAGTCTGGACCAGACAATCCAGTGATTAATGTCATGAGCATCGATCCACGCAGTTGGGATCGATGACATGCATCAACCAAGTCAGCGAGCCTGACCACCCGATCCCGTTAGTCGCCTTTTACGACAAGCATAGTTTGCTGAAGACCTATTCTAACCCGGAATCTTCACGGGTAGTAACTGCTGTCACAAATGTTCAAACTGTTTACGGTCTGTAAATACTTGAGTCTTGGCGCCACAAGAGGTTTTATTCAATGCACAACCGACGATCTTCACCATCGGTGTCCAATGATCAAACTGAGCGAGTGAATACGGTTTTACGCCGCTTTTAGCAATATTCCAGCAATGTTACGGCGGGGGACACCAGAAATGGGTTTCACACATTGTACCCATGTCGGGAATCGAACCCGGGTCTTCGGCGTGACGAGCGAATGCTTTAACCGACCTCCCCTGATGATCAAACTGAACCCACCCGAACGAAGTTTTAGTCGGCTTCTTTAGCACAAGACAATGGTGTTCTGCCCCGGAATCCAGATAAGATGTCAAAAATAACAAATTCATAATTAATATGCTTTATTTCATATATATTTTGTCACATGTACATGGTAGTCCTCATAGAAGTAATATCATTGAATCGGAAATATTGCAGTTGAACACCATTTTGTCGAAATGGTGTCGAACTCGTGGTTGTGTTGAACTGATTGTCCGGTCAGGTCGATATTTTTATAATATTTCATGTATGTGAAAATAATTTCTACAAGCCTCAGGAATATTCACGTATCATAAATAACACAATAAATATATGCAGTGGAATTTCAACTCCTTTCTAAATATTGCCCATCAATACGTTTAACAAACATTTAAACAGAATTGTACAAATTCTAATTTATGGAAACGATGAGATATTTATTTATTTCTAAATATCTTTCTGAGTCACATATTTCATTGTTTGTGCAGGTATCACAATTGGTTGGATCAATATTACATTGTTCAGAGCAGAGAATACAACACGAGGTATATTTCTGTGCCAGTATAACTATAAAGTGTTCAAAATGCACAATGACATCACAACAAGATCCTCAGCAAACAAACATCATTATTATCATATAATGGCACAAGTGATGAGTTCATTATTAGACTTTGGGGCACACGAGACAGTGATGAGGTCATTGTTATATCAAGGCGTGTCAGCTTAATGTCGTAGGAAAACCCAAAGTCCTGCAAGTTTCAGGCATTTACCACTTTGGTGAAACCCACGAGCACAGGTATGGTGCTGACATTGGTTCATAGAATCATAGGTTTCTGGCGTGCCCAAAGCGCAACTCTGCACTGCGAATTTCGGCGCCTCAGACGACTGGGCCACCCGTGCCCACGTGTCTACAGACGGGTGTCCTCCTCATCATCATTGACGCCATTAACATACCCGTAATTAACTCTCCCGTCCTTGCTTTCTGCGCTTCTGTGATTAACGTCATCGACAAAGACATTATCTTCTACGTCACTGGTTTCTTCCAAGTAATACGTCGACTTCACTATGATGGGAGCAGGAATGGCGGACGCGTTCGACTGGATGCTTCTCATGGAATGGGTTGAAATAACGCTAACTTCTCGCTCAATGAGAACCCTGGGTGGTCCTTTTCTGATGGCGTCGTGACTGACTTTTCCATTTGTTGTGACATCCGGGTTACTTTTGTCTGGCGGATGTATTATGGCAACAGCAAGGCTCTTTCCCCACGGCTGTAACTCGGCACTTCCAAATATGACAAAGACTGTTACGCCGAAGACATAGCAACCAATTATCATGAAGAACACCGATCGCCATTCTTCCAGAGTGCCCTGAATACCATGAAACACAAGTTATGAATATCAGTGCAAGCCGCATTCTAAACTTTCATGTAAACTTACACTAATAAGGAGATGAAAATCTTCGCCACGATGATAACAGCGGCGGGGTGGAGAGGGTGGGGGTTTAGGAAGAGGCGAGGTGAAATTGGGTTTAACGTCGCGTCCAAGATTATTACACATATGTGGCGACGTGCATGTACGTGTGTGTGTGTGTGTGTGTGTGTGTGTGTGTGTCTGCTTATACTATTTCGGACTGATGCCGATTTATAGTGCTAGCTCACTGAGATACCATGCCGCAGTTTAACATGAATACCCCACTCAGACACAGTATACTGACTCCGAGCCGACCAGTCCTTGTTTTAGCTCCTTAATACCGAGCGCCAGGCAGGGTAACAACAAGTACCATCTTTTAACGTCTTTACGTGGTTACGTTTATTATATTGCACTCAGCAATATTCCAGCTATTTGACGGCGGTCTGTAAATAATCGAGTCTGGACCAGACAATGCTGAAATCGATATCATGAGAATCGATCCACGCAATTGGGATACGAAGACAAGCATCAACCAAGTCAGCGAGCCTGCCCACCCGACCCCGTTAGTCGCCTCTTACGACAAGCATAGTCGCCTCTTACGACAAGCATAGTCGCCTCTTACGGGAAGCATAGTCGCCTCTTACGACAAGCATAGTCGCCTCTTACGGCAAACATGGTCGCCTCTTACGACAAACATGGGTTGCTGAAGACCTATTCTAACCCGATTACGTTATTGTCATACTTACATCTGGGGTCAAGCTGGAGACGGTTATGGGTGCAAATATCGACACAAAGGCTCCAACCCCGACAAACATGCCCGTTATGACGCTCGCTAATCTGAAATTGAAATATCGTCATGCATTCGTGTCATGACTTTACCTTAAAACGCAAAGTGCCATTCAGCTGACAGCATACACATTCAAAATAATTGAAACAAACATGATTGTGCGACATGACCAGACTTATCATTGTCGTCATATAATTTTGTCTGATACAAGTATTTCATGACGTCATAATGCGTGATGACGTCATAATGTGCTGTGTGACGTCACAGTATGTGATGACGTCATAATGCGTGATGTGACGTCATTAATACTAATTATTGCTTCTCACGTCACAGTTGACTGTGTTAGAACTCATTATTGAAAGAAGGGTCTGCTGAATGTGGAACATTCTTTTTCACTTCCATGTAACATTTGTCAACGGAAGAACGGGTATCTGTTTCTACTACTTATACATAAGAGTCGCCGTCGTTTAGCATGAACATTGCTGAGTGCGGCTTTAAATAACAAACAACGTTCGCTCATCATAGCAAAGGTCTGGGTTTCGATACATCCTCATAATGTGTGAAGCCCACGTATAATGTCCACGTCAGGAATATTGCTTAAAAGCGGCGTTAAACCAAACTCAATTGATCACTTCTACATACGGAGTGGGACGAGTGGACAAGTGGGACGAGTGGACAAGTGGGACGAGTGGACAAGTGGGACGAGTGGACAAGTGGGACGAGTGGACAAGTGGGACGAGTGGACAAGTGGGCATAGGCTCAGCAAGTCTCTGTGAACATGTGCGTCCACTAGACGTGCAACGTCCATCCATCATAATCATAATCATCATAATCGGCCTCGTATTCGTGTTCACAAGAAAGGTTTGCCTATGATCTGCGTATCTTCCCTAAGGTGAGGGAAAGTGAATTGGGATGCAACGTCGCATTCAAGATTGTAGCACTCATATAGCGACGTGCCTGCAAGTGCGTGCGTGCGTGCCTGCCTGCGTGCCTGCGTGCCTGCGTGCGTAATAATAATAATAACTACAGATTTATAAAGCGCTGGTATCCATTTCAAAGAACTGCTCAAAAGCGCTTCATTTGAGTCTACAAAAAAAAGAGACATTACACAGCTAGGAAAACACAAAGCCTCAATACTCTAAGAAAGATTTGGTGAAAAGATAGGTTTTGAGTCTTGATCGGAACAAAGTTGGACTGTCAATGTTCCTAATATCCAATGGCAGCCTATTCCACAGCTCAGGGGGGTAATACGTACCTTGGTGCGATATCAAGTGGGACAATGGAGGATGCGGCAAAGGAACAAGACTGGAAGAACATGGTGACAACAAAGAGGACCACGCCCACAATTTTCCTGTCTTCGCCGATGTAACCAATACCTACAGTGATCGCAGCACAGGTCAAAAAGCCTGGCGAGACAAGAAAAAGACGGGATTATAATCAGCGATCGGCGTGACCAAGAATGCGCAGTGACTTTGTGTTTTGTTTTGTTTGTTTGTTGATTGACGCCTCACTCAACAATATTCCAGCTATATGACGGCGGTATATAATTAATCCAGTATGGACCACACAATCCAGTGATTGATATCATCAGCATCGATCCACGCAATTGGGATCGATGACATGCATCAACCAAGTCAGCGAGCCTGACAACCCGATCCCGTTAGTCGCCTCTAACGACAAGCATCGTCGCATTTTACAGCAAGAATGGGTTGCTGAAGACCTATTCTAACCCGGATCTTCAAGGGTCCTGTGAGTAAGTGAGTAGATTGAGCTGAAACAATGCGGATGCGACGGTAAAATATCATTTTAATTTTTTAACTATTTTAAACATTAATTTAAAAATCGAGGTCACAAGTGACATACCAGTTGATTGGATAACTTTCCTGTTGACTGTTGTGCTTATATTTCGTTTAGACATCTGGTCAGCCATGACACCCCAGAAAAGGACCCCGAGAAATCTTGAGGCAAAAGGGACAGACGAGACGATGGCATTCTGGAAAATAATCCAACAGTAATGAGTGGGTGAGTTGGGTTTAACGCCGCTTTTACGAGAATTCCTAATATACACAGCGTGTCAGCTTGATGTGAGAGGAAAGCTCGAAGTTATGCATGCCTCAGACGTTTACCACTTCGGTGAAACCCACGAGCACGGGTATGGTGCTGACAAACCTAGAAACATAATCTACTCAAAGTGATGCGGGTCTCAGACGTTTACCACTTCGGTGAAACCCACGAGCACGGGTATGGTGCTGATAAACATATAAACATAATTGGGGCGAACCGGATTCGAACTCACAATTTCAGACTAATAATCTAATATTATCACTCAGAACAGTCGCCGAAGCCTTGTTTGTTGTTGGTAGTGTTACGCACAGATGAGCAATGTTTTAGCTTTGTCATGTCGGGTTGCAAATGATCGAATTCTGGTAAAGCAAATCAAAGACTGAATGAATGATCAACTATCCGTCCCGTCCGGGCACACATACACCAAATAGAAACCAGACGCCTCTTGTGACAAAGAGGCGGTCGGGTAACCTAGGGGTTAAAGCGTTCGCTCGTCACGCCGAAGACCCGGGTTCGATTCCCGACATGGGTACAATGTGTGAAGCCCATTTCTGGTGTCCCCCGCCGTGATATTGCGGGAATGTCGCTAAAAGCGGCGTAAAACCATACTCACTCACTCACTCTTGTGACAAGCAGAAAAGTGCAGGGCCCTGTTCCACAAAGCCATCTTAGCGCAACTTGTAATACTGGTTTAGTGCCCCATTTCACAAGACCGCCAAGACACACACGCGCGCGCACACGCACACACACACACACACACACACACACACACACACACACACACACACACACACACACACACACACACACACACTATCTCACATGCACATATGCACATACACACACACACACTCACGCCAAACAATCACACACGCATACACACACTCTCACACACACTCACACTCTCTCAAACACACACATACACACTCTCTCTCAAACACACACATACACACTTTCTCACACACACTTGCATGCGCAATAATTTTGAAAGCGGCGTTAAACCCCATTTCACTTCACCTCACCTAATGTCAAGACGAAGTCTTAGCTTGGCTTCGTTGTCGTAAATCGATGCTAAACTACGGGTGTTTCGAACGACGGTCATACCTGGTGGCCTTATAAGAGAAGACTTAGACTGACCTGTTCTATTGGGAACCGGAGTACGTCTCTCATGTACTTGGGGAGGTAGGTGAAGAAGATGGTTGCACACCACATGTGTACAGTCTGGATACAGATGAACGCCCACAGCGGTACCGATGTCAGCAGGCTCTTGTAGGGGATAAATGTACTCTGTTGGGAAGATAAACGTGTCAGGTTAAGAATCATAACCAAAAGACTATAGGTTTAGGAGAAGATGAAGGAAAGAAGAAAGAGAGAGGGAAAGAGAGAGACAGGCAGACAGAGCGGGACAAAGAGAATTGGAGAGGGGGGGGGAGAGAGAGAGAGAGTGATGAGAGGGAGCGAGAGAGGGTGGGAGAGAGTGGAGAGGGAGCGAGAAAGAGGAGAGAGGGTGGGTGAGTTAGAGGAGAGAAGAGAGAATCCTATCTTTACCTTATCGGGAACGGTTCTGATGTTAGCTTTGATATACTTCTTTTCTGCCTCCGAGATCCACTTGTGTTCATCAGGTGTGTCATAGACCACTAGCCACCACACCAGACACCACAACAAGCTCAAGCCTCCTGGAAGACGTGCCGGGGATAGAATGAGAATGGGTGTGGAGGCGGAGGATGAAAATGGGTGTGGAGGCGGAGGATGAGAATGGGTGTGGAGGCGGAGGATGAGAATGGGTGTGGAGGCGGAGAATGAGAATGGGTGTGGAGACGGAGAATTAGAATGGGTGTGGAGGCGGAGAATGAGAATGAGAATGAGAATGGGTGTGGAGACAGAGAATGAGAATGGGTGTGGAGACAGAGGATGAGAATGGGTGTGGAGACGGAGAATGAGAATGAGAATGGGTGTGGAGGCGGAGAATGAGAATGGGTGTGGAGACAGAGGATGAGAATGGGTGTGGAGACGGAGAATGAGAATGGGTGTGGAGGCGGAGAATGAGAATGGGTGTGGAGACAGAGGATGAGAATGGGTGTGGAGACGGAGAATGAAAATGAGAATGGGTGTGGAGGCGGAGAATGAGAATGGGTGTGGAGGCGGAAGATGAGAATGGGTGTGGAGGCGGAGAATGAGAATGGGTGTGGAGGATGAGAATGAGAATGGGTGTGGAGGCGGAGGATGAGAATGGGTGTGGAGGCGGAGAATGAGAATGGGTGTAGAGGAGGAGAATGAGAATGGGTGTGGAGGCGGAGGATGAGAGTGGGTGTGGAGGCGGAGAATGAGAATGGGTGTGGAGGCGGAGGATGAGAATGGGTGTGGAGGCGGAGAATGAGAATGAGAATGGGTGTGGAGGCGGAGAATGAGAATGAGAATGGGTGTGGAGGCGGAGAATGAGAATGAGAATGGGTGTGGAGGCGGAGGATGAGAATGGGTGTGGAGGCGGAGAATGAGAATGGGTGTGGAGGCGGAGGATGAGAATGGGTGTGGAGGCGGAGAATGAGAATGGGTGTGAAGGCGGAGAATGAGAATGAGAATGGGTGTGGAGGCGGAGAATGAGAATGGTGGTAGAGGCGGAGGATGAGAATGGGTGTGGAGGCGGAGGATGAGAATGGGTGTGGAGGCGGAGGATGAGAATGGGTGTGGAGGCGGAGAATGAGAATGGGTGTGGAGGCGGAGGGTGAGAATGAGAATGGGTGTGGAGGCGGAGGATGAGAATGGGTGTGGAGGCGGAGGATGAGAATGGGTGTGGAGGCGGAGGATGAGAATGGGTGTGGAGGCGGAGAATGAGAATGGGTGTGGAGGCGGAGGGTGAGAATGGGTGTGGAGGCGGAAGATGAGAATGGGTGTGGAGGCGGAGGATGAGAATGGGTGTGGAGGCGGAAGATGAGAATGGGTGTGGAGGCGGAGGATGAGAATGGGTGTGGAGGCGGGGCAGGAGGAGCAGGAGGAGGGTAGGAGCATGACAATGAATATACTTTCCAGAAGCTACGACCGCCGTTGTCTGCTTAATTATGTAATGTTGATAGCTATTGGTCTCAGATAGTGTTTGTAGGTGAGGTGAAATTGGGTTTAACGTCGCGTCCAAGATTATTTCACTTATATAGCGACGTGCATGCACGTGTATGTGTGTGTGTGGCTGCTTGTACTAGTCCGGACTGATGCCGATTTATAGTGCTAGCTCACTGAGATACCATGCCGCAGTTTAACATGAATACCCCACTCAGACACAGTATACTGACTCCGAGCCGACCAGTCCTTGTTTTAGCCCCTTAATGCCGAGCGCCAGACAGGGTAACAACAAGTACAATCTTTTAACGTCTTTTTGTATGACGCGGCCCGGGATCGAACCCTGGGCCTTCCGCTCTCCGGGCGGACGCTCTACCACAAGACCACGGAGGCGGTCAGATAGTGTTTGTAACATGATGCATATGACTATTGTACATTTTATTCATAAATATTCATAAATATGAATATTGTGACTGAAGAATTTACATTTTATGCAAAAAAGAGTGAGTGAGTATGGTTTTACGCCGCATTTAGCAATATTCCAGCAATATCACGGCGGGGGACACCAGAAATGGGCTTCACACATTGTACCCATGTCGGAAATCGAACCCGGGTCTTCGGCGTGACGAGCGAACGCTATAACCACTAGGCTACCGACCGTCCCAGATGAATACCTTCACTTCACAAACGCAGTCATCGTATTCCATTCATTTTGTGCATTATCATCCTATGTTTGTAAGTGAGTGAGTGAGTTCGGTTTTACGCCGCTTTTAGCAATATTCAAGCAATATCAAGGCGGAGGGACACCAGACATCGGCTTCACATATTGTACCCATGTCGGGAATCGAACCCGGGCCTTCGGCGTGACGAGCGAACGCTTTAACCACTAGGCTACCCGACCGCCCCCTATGTTTGTGAATGTAAATCGTTCTTTCGTTATTGTGTACTTAGTGTATTACCAAACACATAGAAGACGAAAGGCCAGCCATTGTCTAGAGGGATAGTGCACAGGAACCCGGAAATTAGGGAGGACACCAGACTTCCGATGTTGACACCTACAACAGATAACTAGTTGTCAAGGTATGAGTAGAACTGGTTGTCAAGGCATGAGTGTAACTGCGTGTTAAGGAATGAATATAACTAGTCAAGGTATGGTGAGGTGAAATGGGGTTTAACTTCGCGTCCAAGATGATTTCACTTGTATAGCGTGCATGTACGTGTGTGTGTTTGTGTGGCTGCTTGTACTAGTCAGGACTGATGCCGATTTATAGTGCTAGCCCACTGAGATACCATGCCGCAGTTTAACATGAATACCCCACTCAGACACAGTATACTGACTCCGTGCCGACCAGTTTTAGCCCCTTAATACCGAGCGCCAGATAGGGTAACAACAAGTACCATCCTTAAACGTATTTTGGTATGACGCGGCCGGGGATCGAACCCCGGACCTTCCGCTCTCCGGGCGGACGCTCTACCACTAGACCACGGAGGCGGTCTGTCAAGGTATGAGTACGCTCTACCACTAGACCACGGCGGCGGTCTGTCAAGGTATGAGTACAATTCGTTATCATGGGATGAGTATAACTACTTGTCAAGGTATGAGTAACTGGTTGTCAGGGTATGAACATAAACATTGACAAGGTATGCAAACAGATCTAACGTTTACAGCCTAAAGTTAACACACAAAAGAATCAACCCTTGATCAAAAAATGAAAAAGGTTTATGATCTGCTCTTTCCCTGCTTTGGTTACAGTGAAACCGAAGTGCATGTGTGAAAACTGGTTTCCGCCAAATTCAGCATTATCCAGGAGGTTTGAACCAGGCAAATCTGTGGTTAAGCTTTGTAATGCTGAGGCCTGCATGGTTAATCAATTCTTGCCGGTTATGTAAGAGTGAGTGAGTGAGTTTGATTTTACGCCGCTTTTAGCGACATTCCCGCAATATCACGGCGGGGGACACCAGAAATGGGCTTCACACATTGTACCCATGTCGGGAATCGAACCCGGGTCTTCGGCGTGACGAGCGAACGCTTTAACCACTAGGCTACCCGACCGCCCCCTATACTTACAGAGGGTGTTGTGTTGTGGTAAAAACAGTGCCGGTGTTTGGGCAACCATATCTCAATCTAGAAATGTTCATTTTTTTTACCATCTGACATACACAAGAGAAAAACGTTCGATTATCATGTATCATACTTCTTCATCCTCAACTAGTGCAGCTCGTTATCTGGAATCATGGCTTTTTGGTATGTTTTGTTTGTTATCTTACCGGACAGTGTCCAGGACACAAGTTGCACCTTCTCTTCATCAGGGGCCCAGTGTCCCCACAGTTCCTGGGTTGCGGGCAGAATGGTTCCCTGGAACATACAGTAAACTACGGTTATAACGAACTACGGTTATAACGAACTCAAAGGGACCACTAATTTTAGTTCGTTATAACCGTAATTCGTTATAAGCATATATACAGTATAACTACAGCAAATAGTCGGGACTAAAAAGTTAGATCGTTATATCCGTTAGTTCGTTATAAGCGTGTTCGTTATAACCGTAGTTTACTGTACAGTGTGTCCAACAAGCTCCATAACCAGATGTACGTTATTCTACATTTGTGTGTTTTCTATTACTTGATCACGACATTTTCGCCGACCAATTGTATATAATAATATTCCTGCGACGAACTCGATCCACAGCCCTCTAAAATTACTATCCATTTAGAATGAGAATGTCATGAAAACTGACATCCCTTTTAGTCATTCAGTCTAAGACTTGGCATTTTGAAATTACTTTATCGTAGTAGAATTATATATAATTCCGAACGTCATTAGGAATAGATCAATGAATGAAAGCACAAATAATACATGTTAAATGAAACTTGAGACCCGGCACTCGTTCCGCAAAACGATCTCAGCGCTCAGGTGATTGTAACTCCATATCTTAACATATAGGTTTATGTAGCAGTAGTGGTAGCATCTCTTCATAGAAAGCACGTTGCAGCTAAAACTAAACACTAAGAGGTTCTTTTGAACAGATTCGTTTCATGCAAAGTATCAGGATAGTTTCATAGTCCATTTTAATTAATTTCAATCGATCCGGAACAGGCATAGACAGAAACAACCAATCATAAAGCAGCATACCGAGAAGCAACCAATGACGACCCTCATGGCAATGAGCAGGTACATGTGACCTCGGGCACCGAAGGGGGTGAGAAGGTTCATCACCGAACTTATGGTCATGCTGATTCCCACGACTTTCTTAGCTCCGAATTTCTTGGACATTAAGCCACTGATGGCAGGAGCCATGAAGCCGAAGTATAGGACGGAGGAGAGGATGATACCCTGGGTGGCTTCATCCCAGTCAAACTCTCCCGGAGGGGGGATCTGTGCCAACAAATTACTGTTTATACATATGTATAGCCTTTGGGGCAAAAATGGCATCAAGCAACGTAAACAATAATGAATATTATTAATAAACAGAGAAAGATGGTTCACATAGTGACTCTTCCTAGTGCTTAATACACTAAACAACGGTTCTAACGAAGTCAAAGAAACCATTAACTTTAGCTCGTCATTACCGTAGTTCATTATAATGATAAAAACAGCACAGTTCGTTATATCCGTCAGTTTGTTATAAATGTGTTCGTTATAAACGCGTAAGTGGTATAACTGATGAGTTCTGAGCTTCAAATGGAAGGAATTGCGTTATGGTGGAATCTTTTGTTGTGGTCATCAGATGATGTCAAAGAGGTACACCAACATAAGCCTGGGTCAGTTGAGCGAATCGTTTCGCAAAGCAGTAAAGTAAACCGGAGTCCGTGACCTGTGGAAAATGTGCAGCCATCGGGTACTCGAAGAAATGAGTACAACAATAGGGAAGGATGCCCCTTCCGATGTCACCATACAGATGTGGGTAGCAAACTTCAAGCGTGGCAGGGAGAGCCCTTGAAGACAACCACGAAAAGCCACGACATGGTAATGACCGGCCGGTGAATGACTGAGCGTCATGTTGCTCGTCCAGATAGATAGATATATATATATATATATATATATATATATATATATATATATATATATATATATATATATATATATATAAGGATCGGGTTTTCAGGGTCGCCGACTTGGTTGATGCATGTCATCGATTACAATTGCGTGGATCGATGCTCATGATGTCAATCACTGGATTGTCTGGTCCTGATTCGATTATATACAGACGGCGTTAAACAACAAAACAAAAAAACTAACATCAAAGTCAGATTTATCAAAATCTGTCATACCTGTTGAGGTTGACTTTCCTTGTTTAGCCCCACCGTTTGATCTTGTCTCAGGACCAGGACTGGGTTCGAACCCAGAGCATAATATCAGTATCTGCACAACACATTTTAGACACTTCTGGGTCATGTTCAAGTTGTCACTGACGTGGAGTGAAGAAAAGGTATCGCAAGATGATTCTGCATGTTGTTAAACTTCTGTCTGCTAATGGTTTGTCTGTATATATTTGAGTAGTTCACACAAATACATCATCACATGTCCTTCCACAGAGGTGGTTGCAGAAGTGGCTCCTGTTTTCGTTGTATGTAAACAAAGAACTTGTAACTGATCCAGACATTTTGCTGGCACAAAAAGCTTGAACAGCATCACAGAAAGATGGTGGCGGAATCAATGTGGGATAAATACACTTCAACCATGATGTAACCGTAAGACCTGAAGACCATACAGTCAGCAATAACGTTGTACAGAATACCAAGCGGTAAGACAGGTCAATCAGTAGCGTCCATTTTGAAGACGGCGAGTAAGGCAAAACGACTAGGTTTGGGTGAAGGTTCCAATTCATGCTCACCAAATGTCAATCGATACACCCATTATATGTTTGTATGTTCTGCATAACGTCAAACTTTGTGTGTTGAAATAATATTAACAAATCTTGCCCACAACCTGAAAAGCCGATCTCACTCACGCATCTGTTTGAAGCTGATCCAGAAGGTTTCTTGCAGCAATGTGTAACTCTGGATGAAACCTGGGATCACCACTTTCACCCTGAAGCCAAACAACAATCAAAACAATGGAAGCATTTGACGTCAACGCCATCAAAACTGCCCCGCCAGCTTGAAAGGCTATGGCCTCCGTGTTCTAGGATGCTGAGGTAGTCATCACTGTGGACCATAGCCCCAGTTCTGACAATAAACGGAGCTTAACTGTGCTGCGTGCTTCAGACAAATACAGGATAAAAGTTAGACTGAGGCTACAATACACAAGTTTGGCTTTGAACTGCTCCCACCTTATTCTCCTAATCTGGCTCCGTCAGACTTCCATTAGTTCCAAAACATGAAGACACACTCGGACACGAACAATGACAGCATAGCAACCGTGGAGAGCTTTTGTTTTGGACAGCCAAGATAAGGACTTCCACGAAACATGGATACAATCCACCCAACATCGTTGGTCAAAGTGTGTCAATGGTACAAAATATACCATATTAATGCCTTTAGGTCAAGTGAAGCTCAGAACATATCAGCCTACCTTGAAGCTAAATTTCTTTAACGGAAATTACAAAATAATTATGGTTAAGGAGGCTTTTGTTATCTAAAATGGGGATATTTTCTGCTGTAATTTTGCCAAGTCGTTTGTTAATCCTTTTTCATAAATTTCAATATTTTATCAAACGAGACCATCCATTTTCGCGTCCTTTTGGTTATTTCGGGTTACTGCAATCTTATGATGAACAGGTTTTGAACTGGTTTAACAATACAGAAAAATGAAAACTCCAATCACCGATTCGCTTGATGCATTTGATGTGACGTTCGTAGTGTACACCAACCGCTGGGTTAGATTCGCTCCCGGTCGGGGTGGGGGCGTACTTCCGGTCATGCACACCAGCGCCATGTTGAAGGAGTTGCGCATGAGGGTGCTGCTGATGAAGCCGAACCAGACGATCATGGATGTCATCCATCGCCATGATGAAATTTTCTGGCGGAAGGGCAGGGGAGCCTTTTTGGAGTTTTTACCATGGCTGTGTGAATTGTCTGAAAGACATATACATGTAGTAACATTGTATGTACCAACGGTTGCTAAAAGGACACAACAGCCTGAAAGAAAGGGTTTATCTATGTATAGCTTTCGCTTTCAAACTACCCGTGAAGATCCGGGATAGAACAGGTCTTCAGCAACCCATGCTTGCCGTAAAAGGCGACTATGCTTGTCGTATGCTTGCTGATTTTTATGAGGGTATTATGTTCACTGGTCAAACCGGTTTAGGGTTTCCTGAAAAAAATATTTTTTTGTTTAAATTGATTGAATATCGAAGAGAAATTGATTTTAATTTCAAAATATTCTTTTTCAAAAGCGTGTTTAGTAGCTTGTTTGCTTGTTTGTTGTTTAACACCGCACTCGGCACGATTTCAACTATATGACGACGGTCTGTTAATAATCGAATCTGGACCACACATTCCAGTGAATGACATTATGAACATAGATCTACGCAATTGGGACACAATGACGTGCATCATCCAATTCAGCGAGCCTGACCTCCCGATCCCGTTAGTCGCTTCTTACGACAAGCATTGTCGCCGTTTAAGACAAGCATGAATTGCTGAATACCAATTCTGGCCCGGATCTTCACTGTTTTAATGTTTATTATTCACACAAAAACAGCGCATATCCACGGCGATTTACATGTGTAAAAAATGTTAGAACGTAATAACATCCCCGTTCCACCTCCCTGAAGACCCGTGAAGATTCCGGGGTAGAATAGGTCTTCAGCAACCCATACTTGCCGTAAAAGGCGACTATGCTTGTCGTAAAAGGCGACTAACGGGATCGGGTGGTCAGGCTCGCTGACTTGGTTGATGTACGGTCATCGATCCCAATTGCGTGGATCGATGCTCATGATATCAATCACTGGATTGTTTGGTCCAGACTCAATTATTTACAGACTGCCGTCATAAAGCTGTAATATTGCTGAGTGCGGCGTTAACCAACCAACCAACCAACCAACCAACCAACGCTTTCAAAACTACGAGTTTTCATTAGCTATACGATACCGTATATATTTATGCAGGGGCACGTGTTTAATTAACGTAGACAGTCTTCGTGACTGAAGACAGACACCATTGAGTGAACGATGTTAATGTTACGAGTAACGTAAACTCTGAAATAGTTACCACTCGAAACCAGAGTTTCAACGTTCATGATTATATTTTTTGTTGTATTTCGTTTACCAGCGCATGAAAGTTCACAAACAAATACAACTTGAATGAACTTTATGAAGTAGCAAATGTAGCATTTCTAAAGAAAGCAATGAAACTCTTCAATTACCATTACCATTACAAAATTAGTTACATTACATAACTCAAGACTGAAATGGAGGTACGGTGACGGTGCACAGTGGTACCAGAGGTGGTGAGGTGAGGTGAAATGGGGTTTAGCGTCGCGTCCAAGATGATTGCACTTATATAGCGATGTGCATGTACGTGTGTGTGTTTGTGTGGCTGCTTGTACTAGTCCGGACTGATGCCGATTTATAGTGCTAGTGCTAGCTCACTGAGATACCATGCCCATACATGAATACCCGACTCAGACACAGTATACTGACTCCGAGCCGACCAGTCCTTGTTTTAGCCCCTTAATCCAAGCGCCAGACAGACTAACAACAAGTACCATCTTTTAACGTCTTTTGGTATGACGCGGCCGGGGTTCGAACCCCGGACCTTCCGCTCTCCGGGCGGACGCTCTACCACTAGACCACGGAGGCGGTCCAGTTGTACCAGAAGCAAACAGGGTGAGGTTTTATGGTGACCACATGAACGGAGGTCATTTCCACATTTGACCCATCAGTGACCAAAATGATGGCCAATGTACATAAGTCTGTATTTTAACTTGTACCAGTGTTCAGGTGAACACTTGACTTGCCTTTGCATGTGTTTGTGACGGCTGCAGCCGTTGGGGCAGGATGCGCTCACCTTTTCGCGAACGACTGGTATCATGATAGTTTTTCATAAACGCACGCTTATGATAAAGACGAAATCGTACACTGGAATGCTTATGGAAATGTTTTTGCCGCTTTTATTACACATTTTGTCCTCTATATACAGCTTTGCCAACGGTATTGGCCAACGACCTGGGATGTGTGAGTGATTATGACTTAGTGGCATGTAGGCAGTATTTTATACAGTTAACCACCTAGCTCACAGTTCTTGTATCTACAAGACACAGCACAAAATATTCCTTCATGTTGCTTTTGTTTTTCTGTCATGTCATGAGATTTGATTGTTTGTTTGTTTGTTTGTTGTTTAACGCCGCACTCAGCAATATTCCAGCTATACGACGGCGGTCTGTAAATAATCGAGTCTGGACCAGACAATCCAGTGATTAATATTCTGTGATTGACATCATGAGCATCGATCCACGCAATTGGGATTGATGACATGCATCAACCAAGTCAGCGAGCCTGACCACCCGATCCCGTTAGTCGCCTTTTACGACAAGCAAGGGTTACTGAAGACCTGAATCTTCACGGGTCTCATATCATGAGAGATTAATTATAGTAATATGAAAGAATCGCGTTGATTTCTTTCAAGTATTATAGATTGAAGACGCCTTTTGTCTTTGATGCAATGTTTTACGCCACATGGGGTCTTTGGCAAGATGTTTAACGGCTTATAGTCTAATAATATGCAAAATCCTTACCGCTTCAATCTATTTCATTAAATACCGTATACTTAATTATAAAGTGATTAAAACCACTCATAATCATGATGACCATACCTTCCCGTGTCAAGTTCCCAATCCCATTTTCCTGTTTGGAAGCCATTGTGAGTCTACACTAACGCTGAGGGGGAAGAGACGTCCTTGCCGGTTCATTCCTATGACTAGCACTGACTATTTCCCCTTGTCATCCCGTATCTCGTTTGGTGTGAGGACGCATACTTGAGGGCCACTCTTGACAACGTTACACGTTATTACATCAGAAACTTAAGAAGCATTGCACGTGCCAATCGGCCCAACTGTTCGACTCTCCGGTCGAGGTTGTGTGACTGTGAATGTTCACATTTCGTTATGAGATGATTCATGGTTTTGCTCCTGCCAACTACGTGGCGTTCCTGGTTTAAGGCACGAGCATCAGTTCCACGTGCATATTGTGTACGACACGCCCTCATCGTAGCATCAGGTTTGGGCAAAAGAAAGCATGCGCTTGAAAATTGGATTTGACTCCAAAATTACAAATATTATCAAAATCGAACAAACTTACAACATTAAGGCCCAAAGCACAGCTATGATACCCGATAGTGATACATCACCATCACTATCGAATAACTATATATAAACTGGTATACGTCAGCAACACACAAACACGTGCATGAGCGACCAATGTGAGTAAAACAATCTTGAACAAGGCGTTAAATCCTCTTTTTACCTCACCTCAATGGGAAATGATTGATTGATTGAATATATATATATATATATATATATATATATATATATATATATATATATATATATATATATATTCAATGATTGATTGATTTTTTATATATATACAATTTTTGATTGATTGAATATATATATATATATATATATATATATATATATATTCAATGATTAATTGAATATATATATATATACATGTATATACATTGATTAATTGATTGAATATATATATATATATATATATATATATATATATATATATATATATATATATATATATATATATATATATATATATATTCAATCAATCAATCATTTCCCAATGAAGTGAGGTAAAAAGAGGATTTAACGCCTTGTACAAGATTGTTTCACTCACATTGGTCGTTCATGCACGTGTTTGTGTGTGGCTGACGTATGCCAGTTTTTTCAGTGTGAATCCACTGATCATGAGTTATAACCAAGTTTAAAATGGACATCCAACTCAGGCACGTTACACTGACCGTGGCCAATCCTTGTTTTATCCTCTTCATGCCAGGCAGGGTAACAAGTACCATCTTTTTACATCATTGGTATGACAGGGTTAAGCCAGGGGATCAAACCGCATTCGTCAGCACTCGCCCCTTTCCGTAACCTGCAAGAAGACTCGTCCCCCTATCGATGAATGTTATGTGCGAAAACACGACAAACCAATCAGAATGCGTGTATGATTTCAAATTCCGCGTCAAAGAATCCCCCAGAAATATTTTTTGATTTTACATAACAAAATACCCAAGACACAGTTAAATGTGTTCAATCATACTGTATAAATTCGCATTTCCTGTCGTGCTTTAGATTGCGATGCTAAAACGGAACCCGGTCGCAAAAATGGCCATGAGCGGGACACGAGTCGCTATCGGCTCAGTCTCATTAAAATCAGATCTTAGTTCTCGCTATCGCTGAACAACGATCTGAGGACATCCCATTACGGGTCACGTCAGAACGACCTTTCATCCAACCAATCAGAGCGTCGCTTACCAGATCATGGTGGTGACGTGAAATGGGGTTAACGTCGCGTCCAAGATTATTGCACTTACCAGATCATGAAAGTGCCAGACGGAATGTTTTTTTCTAATCATGCAGCCTCGAAATATTTAACCGAGGGTATTCCGAACGACAATTACGGGGTTTGTGATTATATCCATACAATCTAGGCCATATGTAAGCCATTCCAGAATGTTCTTTTTAACAGTTTTATTTTTTTATAATTGAGAATACGTCAAAATATGTTTCGAAGCGAAGTCGCCAGTTTGGAACTAGCGTCGAGAAAGCTGCCTTCTGATTGGCTAATGTCGATTTCTTGTCAGTCATTTCACTGATCGGTCAAAGTCGCGAAAGGTCGGTCTGACTAAGATCTGATTTTAATGAGATTCCTATTCGGCTTGTCCCGGAATTACATGAGTTGGTTACGATTGGATCAAACCGGTGACCTTTCGCTCTGCTGACAGACGTCATATCCACAATACCACGGAGGCGGTCATTCCATGGAAACTGAAGCTTTAAATGTTCAATACCAGACATAGACCCCGCTTGGTATTGTTGCAGAGCCTCAGACGTGTCAAGAGTACGTGGTCATTAATGCGGCCATGGAATGGAATCCACATGCGGACAGTGTAATAATATAGGAATCTGAATGTAAATAATAAATATTTTATTATATGTTCTTACATATATTTATTGTCTTCTTGAGCGCCTCCGTGGTCTAGTGGTAGAGCGTCCGCCCGGAGAGCGGACGGTCCGGGGTTCGATCCCCGGCCGCGTCATACCAAAAGACGTTAAAAGATGGTACTTGTTGTTACCCTGTCTGGCGCTCGGCATTAAGGGTGTAAAAAAAGGACTGGTCGGCTCGGAGTCAGTATACTGTGTCTAAGTGGGGTATTCGTGTAAACTGCGGCATGGTATCTCAGTGAGCTAGCACTATAAATCGGCATCAGTTCGGACTAGTACAAGCAGCCACACACACACACACACACACACACACACACACGTACATGCACGTCGCTATATAAGTGCAGTAATCTTGGACGCGACGTTAAACCCCATTTCACCTGACCTCACCTCAACTCACCTCACCTCACCTCACCTCACCTATTGTCTTCTTTTCTGAACTACCTGAGGGGGCACGGGAGGCAGGCCGTCTGGGGTGCCGCACTTCGACGTGGAGAGTTGCGCTTTGGGCACGCCAGAAACCTGGGATCGTGAATTCGAATCTCGAATGTTTCAAGATTTGTCAGCACCATACCCATTCTCGTGAGTGACATCAAAGTGGTAAACGTCTGAACCCAACTCGCTCACTGTGAAATAACCAAGTAATCATGAACCACATGGAAATGAGTACAATGAAGTAATATATTATTAATGTACCGTCAATCATGAAATTAATGCGAGTCACGGTCCGCACCTCGCGTTAATAAATGGACGCATGTTTATCTCGACATACTGGAGTATTACTAAGCGCTAGATATACAGCTCCTCAACAAGATCGGTGTTTAATTCAGTGCATTAATTTAATGACGCATTAATTTCATGATTTACAGTATTACTGACCACGTGTACTCCTTGATACAAGCACTATTTGCTAAGTACATCGAAAGTTCATCCAGAAGTTTGTTAATGTGGACGATTTGAGCGTCACCGTCCGTGTCACTATCCTCATAATTGCTTTTTACTGAAACATTGATATTTTTCTGAACGAAAAATGAGACGGTCGAAATATTCACACATGTTCGACACAAACGGGCTTATAAATGGTAGGGGTGGGAAATGAAGATGTGAAGAAATTATTAATGGCACACTGTCGACAAATTAAACTGTAACAGACAAAAAACTAAAAATAAACAATATATCAGTCTTGACAAAAAAACACAAGAAGTATTCCAAATGTGTCGTTTGTAATCATGATATAAGCAAATACAGTAAACTACGGTTATAACGAACTCAAAGGGACTACTAATTTTAGTTCGTTATAACCGTAATTCGTCATAAGCATATATACAGTATAACTACAGCAAGTAGTCGGGACTAAAAAGTTAGTTCGTTATATCCGTTAGTTCGTTATAAGCGTGTTCGTTATAACCGTAGTTTACTGTAGACAGCAATGATGCTGAGTTCTAATTCACTGCCAGCGAAAATATAGGAACCACAAGGGCCACAAGAACATGGGGGTTTGCAGCAACTGTAAAAACGAGTTGAGATGTCATTCTGGATGGTCACAGTAAATATCGCAGGTGTCCCTGCTGGCGTCAAGGCACGCCCGCACACGACGTTTCAAAGGTTCATTAGACGTGAATTCGGTGTTTCGCTTCACTCCCCCGATTGTGTGTGTCAAGTCACGTGTTTGCAGAGGTTCTAATCTGACGTCCCAGGTGGCCCCGGGGGTACATTAGGAGACATGTCAGGGCAGCGAGCCTGACCACCCGATCCCGTCAGTCGCCTGTTATACGACAAGCATAGGTTGCTGAAGATATATTCTTACCCGGATCTTCTCCGTTTTTTTAAAACTATGATTAGTGGTAGTAAATATTACATTCAGCTACATTTATGTCACGTGACTATTATAGACAGAAGCAACAGACACCCACCCGACACAATGTGAATATTCACTCACGAAAACTCATAATGGGGCGAAATATTCTTAGAAGCGCCCCATAAATATATGTGGCATGGTGAAAGGTGAGGTGAGGGGAATTGGGGTTTAACGTCGCGTCCAAGATATATAGCGACGTGCATGTACGTGTGTGTGTGTGTGTGTGTGTGTGTGTGTGTGTGTGTGTGTCTGTGTGTCTGTGTGTCTGTGTGCTAGTACTAGTCCGGACTGATGCCGATTTATAGTGCTTGCACTCTGAGATACCATGCCGCATTTTAACATAAATACCCCCACTCAGACACAGTATTATAGCCTTTATTCATTATGTATTGTAGGCCACAGGCCAATTATACATTACAGAGCATACAGTGAGAGAGAAACATTACAATACAAAATTTTAGGTGATTTACACAAGACGTAGTTTCATTGCTTTGTAAATGAATACGGATAGATTTTGAATGATTATTACATTATTTGATGCCATTAAAATATAAAACGTATGTATGGAGGGGTACAGGTAAAACCTTTTGGGTATATATATTCGTCTTAAATGTACATATCGATCACAAATTATCATAAAATGAAATTCATCTTCAATTAGATTTTGATTGCAAGCTAGACACAACGTTAACCTTTCAGATTTTAACTTTTTTTTATACCCCCCAGTCTCATTTCGGGTCTGGTGACAACAACATCTTAATTGCACAAGGGAACGCCTATATTTAAAAATTGATAATTCTTTTAAATATGTTTCTAAGCCGAAATTTGTTTTGAATAAACTGTAAAGAGTTGATTTTGAGCTTGATGAAAGAGCTGCGTGCTAATTTTGTTCATAAGATAGTTTTAGACGGAGTATAAATTCCGACAGAAAGCTGGAGATATAACTTATAAATTGTTGTTCCCATATGTAACCAAAACCAGTAGAGAATAGGATGTGTTTTACTTTTGATGCCCAGTTAGTTTTACCATTACTACAGTCTAACAATAATAAGTTATAACATTTCTTTACCAAACGTGATTCAGGCATATTAATGATTTTCCACCAATACTTAACAATACTTGACTGCTTAACACATACAAATCTCTTACAGGCAAACATTTGTACAACTTCTATTTCTTCGTAATTATGAACACCCCAAACTTCAGAGCCATACAATAGAATTGGGCCGATTTTGGAATCAAAGATTTTTAAAAATAGATCATAAGGTAATGGATTTAACATATATAATGGTTTAAAAATTCCGCACAGAACCTTTTTGCCTGAGTTGATGCACTATTAACATGAGCAGACCACAGTTGTGATCTAGAGAATAATAATCCCAAGTATTTGTAGCATGAAACACATTCAAGCTGGTGCTCGTTAAAATACCACTTTTCGACTCTTGATAAATTTCTACCATTTTTAAAAACAACGATTTTAGTTTTTGCTAAGTTAACAGACAGGTGGTATTTACCACAAAAACAACTTAAAACATTAATTCGTTTTTGTAGCCCCTAGACAGTATCTGCAAAAAGGACGATATCATCTGCAAATAACAGCAAAAATACCTGTATGATATCAGGATGCAGTTGCACCCCTGGCGCACATGAAGATTCTATTTGTTCAGCAAGCTCATTTATAAAAATAGAAAATAGGAAGGGGCTTAACACGCAGCCTTGCCTGAGGCCCGAGGGGCAATCAAAACTTTCAGAGTGCATTTAACATTTTAGGTGAAACTCCCTGTATTTTAATATATACCATAATTTAGATCTGTTAACAAAGTCGAAAGTTTTTTTGAAGTCCACAAAGAGCGCATAAAACTTACCACGCTTTTTTGAAAGGTAGTGTTGAATAATAGTTTGTAAAATGAAAATATTATCTATTGTGCTATATCCTTTTCGAAATCCCGCTTGCGACTCGCTAATTTTGTCGTACGAATTTGCCCAAAATACTAATCTTGCATTAAGAACTGATGTATAAAGTTTACTTAAAGTGCTTAAAAGGGAAATACCTCTATAATTATTGGGATCAGATTTATCACCTGACTTATACGAAGGGACTATGCTACCTGTACTCCATGATTCAGGGAAATAAGATGATTCAAAAATGACATTAAACAACAATTCCATATATATCGGAGGAGGATTTGAAACATCCTGAGATAAGGGTATCTTCCCCTGGAGATTTATATTTTTTTAGCTTATAGATTGCTTCTTGTATCTCTTCTTGAGTGATCGGAGAATCCAATACACAGGCGGCCGTATCATCAGCATTATAGTCAGTATCAGAGTTTTCAGTCTGTTCTGGAAAATTAGCGTCACATTCTTCAAATAAGTTCTTGAAATACGAAAACCATTCTGATATATTTACATTGTCCTTTTTTGACGACTTGGTTGCATATTTCTTTAGCACAGTCCAAAACTCTTTTGTGTTATTTATATTACCTAGTAAAATGTCTCTGACAGATGTATTATATTGTCTCTTTTTGCTCCTTATTAGGTCATCATATTTATTGCGTTGAGTAATATATAAATGTAGTGATTCACTGTTCTTTGATCTTCTAAAATATTTCAGTAATCTCAGCGTTTCTGATCGATTGAAATCACATTCTGAGTCAAACCATGGTTGATCTGATTTTACAGGATAAGTTTTCTTCTTTTTCTTCACGAAGTCCGCAGCCTGGTGAATATCATCAGTAAAAACTTTAACAGCTTGGTCGATATCGGTCAAGGCAAGAGTGCAACAGTTATTAAGCATAGATGATATATCGGATGACAAGATATTGTCTCTAAATCTTTCAGCAAAATTATTATCCCATAGATATTTGAAACCTTCCCCGTCTCGGTGGGTATCAGCTGACGAACTGGTGTGGATTTCATAGTCACGTGATTGAAATATACAACTGACTGGCATGTGCGGTGACTCGGTCCGGGATCCGATATTAAAATCTGAGCACATTGCAAACAAATCACTTGACACAATGACATAATCTATTACACTCGCTCCTGTTGACGCAAGGAATGTACAGTCACCGACGGACGCATCTGGACCAGCTCGACCATTCACAATATTCATATTTAAAATAGAGCACAGATTAAGTAGTATTTTCCCATACTTATTAACAGATTTATCAGTTGAAAAACGTTTCATCTATAGACTGTATACTAACTCCGAGCCGACCAGTCCTTGTTTAAGCCCCTTAATACCAAGCTCCAGACAGGGTAACAACAAGTACCATCTTTTAACGTCTTTTGGTATGACGCGGCGGGGGATCGAACCCGGGACCTTCCGCTCTCCGGACGGACGCTCTTCCACTACACCACGGGCATGGTGAAAATATATATAATTCAAACTACGACGTTTTTCATGTTTTAAGTTTCTATAATTTATGAAGAAATCATCACTCGCGTCCCACCAATGAATCTTTGAATTAATTATAATCGGATAAACAACTGCATAAAGCTTCAGGTCTTCAGTAACCCATGCTTACCGTAAAAGGTGACTATGCTTGTCGTAAGAGGCGACTAACGGGATCGGGTGGTCAGGCTCGCTGACTTGGTTGACGCATGTCATCGTATCCCAATTGCGTGGATCGATGCTCATGATGTCAATCACTGGATTTTCTAGTCCAAAATCGATCATTAACAGACCGCCGTCTTATAGCCGGAATATTGCCGAGTGCGGCGTTTAACCACAAACAGACGATTTTGTTTAACCGTAAATGCCGCTGAAGTGATGCCATGGCTTGCTGAAGGTGAGGTGAGGTGAGGTGAGGTGAGGTGAGGTGAGGTGAGGTGAAATTGTACTAGTCAGGACTGGTGGCGATTTATAGTGCTAGCACACTGAGATACCATGCCGCAGTTTAACATGAATACCCCACTCAGACACAGTATACTGACTCCGAGCCGACCAGTCCTTGTTTTAGCCCCTTAATGCCGAGCGCCAGACAGACTAACAACAAGTACCATCTTTTAAAAAACGTCTTTCGGTATGACGCGGCCGGGGATCGAACCCCTGTCCTTCCGCTCTCCGGGCGGACGCTCTACCACTAGACCACGGAGGCGGTCCCCACGGCTTGCTGAAAATAAACGGTCTACGAGCCGGGGATATGCTGCCAATAGGAATGGCGCAAAACAAAGCTGCCCGACATTTTAATCGAAACACAATATTATTTCTTTTTAGACGTTATCTCAAGCAGGGTAGTACCTGCCACGGACCGGCCATCCACGTGTGACGTCAAATCAAGAAGACAACCATATTCATTCGGAGCATCTACAGAATAGATACCAAATTAACAGCTCGGACAATTCCCAGGGTGAGACCAACAAGCAGAAGGGCCCCGTTCCACAAAGCGATCTTAGCTCTAAGTTGATTGTAAGTTCCATACTTTAACATAAGCTTATGACAGTCGTAACGCTAAGATCGCTTTGTGGAACGGGCCCCAGAACCGAAGGCAACTGGTTTGGGGAGCACATCATCTGGTCCCGACGTCCAGCCGAATATTGCTTTCATGTCATCTGATGTTCAGAAGACAAGGCTGAGACAATATACTGTTCCCAGACGAGTCCAGGTTTCATCTGGACAGCTCTGATGGTCGTGCCATGGTCTACAGGAGTCCAGGAGAACGTTTAAGTGACGCTTGCGTTACTCAACGTAGTCAGTTTAGGGGTGGAAGTGTAATGGTGTGGGTGGCACTCATCATTGTCAATTGGAATGGCATACGCTGCCGGGACGACATCAAAATCATGTTCTACCCTTAGTGTAAATTGCAGGGACGTATCGTCATATGAGGATAATGTCCACCCACGAGTTGCACGTGTTGTAACAGACTTTTTAGCCAGTATAACATTGCTGTTCTGCCATGGTCGGTTGATTCTCCAGACCTATCCCCTACAGAACATGTCTTGGATGAGATGGAGTGACGCCTACGACAGGACCAGAACCAGCCGGTAACGCTAGCTCAGTTGGGAAAGCTTTGGTTGACATCTGGAACAACATCCCCCAGGCTGTTTTCTACCATCTGGTATCTTCAATGCAGACGCATATGGTGGTCACACCCGATATTGACATTGAATTGTTGCATCAGCCCTCTTTAAGGGCGTGTCGCTCTGTTACCACGTGTAGGTTTTGTCAATGAATTTGTTACGATGAAACATTGCTCAGACGAATGAGAAATTATTATGTTGTTGTTATATTCAAAGATATAACATTTACACCACTTTCTATGAAGCACGGCTATTTTGTCAGCTAGTGCACATGTATATACGCTATATACTACAACATAGAATAAACAGCTGTAAGAAATACATCGAACAAACAATCACCTTGCAAATTAGCCTTTCGTGATGATTTACATCTATCTTAAATTCCATCAAGGCAACAAATCGACATGTGGCTTGTATTTGACCTTTTTATTCGGCAATAAAACTTACATTTCCAGGAGGAATGTATGGTCGACAAATCATATTGTAACCGCTTTGCACTCTTATGAAATGGCCAAGGTTATTCCAAAATCAAAACGTGAGAAGAACTGCGGTGAGTCGTTCTTACCATATTGTACTCTTTTTCTTCTGATCTTGAATAGTAGTGAGTATGGTCTTACGCCGCTTTTAGCAATATTCCAGCAATATCACGGCGGGGGGTACCAGAAACGGGCCTTCAAAAAACAAATTCACCTCTATTTTGCCTTTTATGACCAAATTGGTTATTCTCTGACATCGACCATCTTGTATTCTCTCTTGAACGTGAGTGAGTTTGGTTTTACGCCGCTTTTAGCAAAATTCCAGCAATATCTCGGCGGGGGACACCAGAAATGGGCTTCACATATTGTACCCATGACGGGAATCGAACCTGGGTCCTCGGCATCACGGACTAACGCTTTAACCACTAGGCTACTCCACCGCCTCCTTGAATGGAGCAAAACGCCGTATTTGCCGTAGTTATACTCTGTATATATGCTTATAACGAATTATGGTTATAACGAACTAAAATTAGTAGTCCCTTTGAGTTCGTTCTAACCGTAGTTTACTGTTCACAAATGCCGCGCATTGTAGGAAATCAATTATGTGCCCTCTTGTTATGTGACCAAAGAAAACAGTTCGTTGTTTTTATTTTTTTTTAAAGATAAGACACAAGTAATTGGAGCCCTGTGTGTGTTGGAAAAAATAACTGAGGGCCTGACAATTGAAAATAGATTGTTTTCGTAAGTCGTGGTGCTGACTATAGGGATCATGATCGACGAGAAACTTTTTTTATATTGCACACAATAAACCAAAACTGAAGATATCTCTTTTTCTCCAATGAATGGCAGCATGGATATTTATCATTTCACCATGAGTTGACAATCTTAGAAGAATGTGTAGAGCGCCCTAAATGTTAGCTGGGGAAAAAGCTGATCGCGACGATCATAGTGCTGAAAGTGAGTTTTGCAGTGACTTTGACATGGGCGCTACCAAAATCATAGCATATGTTCTCTGCACTCCCTCCTCCCCAATCACACTCCCTAGAACATGTCTAGGGTGAGATGGTACGACGCTTACGACAGGAACAAAACCAGCTGGTGACGCAAGCTCAGTTGTGCCAATATCATTGGTTGACATTTGTGACAACAGAATCAGTCAGAATCAACGAAGAAATGAACATTAACCATCGATTTCTATATTTTTTAAAAACATGAGCCCACAGGTTTATTTCATCACGGAGACAAAGTTTTCAATATGTTCTTGAGAACCCAGCATCAGGAGGTTACTGCAACTGCAGATCTAAAAAGATCAAATATAGCAGCTCATTTCAATGACGCGTAAAGTTCTCCCGTCACCAAGGTACCACATTACAGTTCCTTTTGTAATAAAGTGGTTCGAATTTCACTATCAGCTTACTTGGTTTTGTTTGTTGTTTAACGCCGCACTCAGCTTTGTTTTGTTTGTTTGTTGTTTAACGCCGCACTCAGCAGTATTCCAGCTATATGACGGCGGTCTGTAAAATAATCGAGTCTGGACATTCATACATACATTTGCTTTTTCCCAGCACAAATTTAGAACATTTCAAACATGGAAGGGGTCATGTGGTTGCAAATTCATTTCTTACCCCAGTCTTCATTGAACCAATTTATATTTACACAAAAATATCCAGCCACTGATTACTTTTTACAACAATTACTGGAATGGCATAATCAAATTTAATAACAGTAACTGTTCTGTAACCTTTCAATCACAGAAAAGCTGCGTTATATTTTGCGAGCAATGTTATACATTTGTAATAGTTATAAATCAAACTATATTTCAAACTAAAAAGAAGTAATCTATAGAAGTGCTTGCAAAGCGCCAGTACATCTCATTTTTTAAATCATATCGCTAACTTAAGATCTTTTCAACTGAAAATCAAACATGAGATAAAATCAACTGGGAGTATAGTGTGAGTATATTTTATAACGCAAACATTTCCATCACAATCTTTTGAACTGGTCCGATAATGTTGAAATTCCCAGGATATATTTGAATAACAGCATAACATGGCCCCATGGTCACTGAACACAACAGAACAAACAATGGCGTAGCATGTAGGTTCATGAAATGCCAATGTCAATGTTTATGCAACACTACATGTGACATGTTTCGGTTCGATAATAGTGTGGGAATACAGGTTTAATCGATACCGAAGTGTGACAAAGAACCTGGTGGCATAAAATGGTAATGATGTTGTAGCGTGACATATTTTTCATATTCAAAGTTCTTATTGTTTTATACAGCACTGTAACGTATTATGCCATGACATTGGTATGTTATTAATAGGGATACACGCGTTGCCCTGTAGTTACACCGACCCCGTCTACTGACTAGCTGTGGTGAGTCTCACGTTTGTATTTTCTTTGTTGTCGCAACGAAGGTATATGAACTGATTTTTATGAGGGTATTATGTTCACTGGTCAAACCGGTTTAAGGGTTTCCTGAAAAAAATATTTTTTTGTTTAAATTGATTGAATATCGAAGAGAAATTGATTTTAATTTCAAAATATTCTTTTTCAAAAGCGTGTTTAGTAGCTTGTTTGCTTGTTTGTTGTTTAACACCGCACTCGGCACGATTTCAACTATATGACGACGGTCTGTTAATAATCGAATCTGGACCACACATTCCAGTGAATGACATTATGAACATAGATCCACGCAATTGGGACACAATGACGTGCATCATCCAATTCAGCGAGCCTGACCACCCGATCCCGTTAGTCGCTTCTTACGACAAGCATAGTCGCTATATAAGTGCAATAATCTTGGACGCGACGTTAAACCCAATTTCACCTCACCTTACGACAAGCATTGTCGCCGTTTCAGACAAGCATGAATTGCTGAATACCAATTCTGGCCCGGATCTGTTTTTAATGTTTAATATTCACACAAAACAGCGAACTTCCATGGCGATTTACATGTGTAAAAAATGTAAGAAAATAATAACATCCCCGTTCCACCTCCCTGAAGACCCGTGAAGATTCCGGGGTAGAATAGGTCTTCAGCAACACATACTTGCCGTAAAAGGTGACTATGCTTGTCGTAAAAGGCGACTAACGGGATCGGGTGGTCAGGCTCGCTGACTTGGTTGATGCATGTCATCGATCCCAATTGCGTGGATCGATGCTCATGACATTAATCACTGTATTGTCTGGTCCAGACTCGAATATTTACAGACCGCCGTCATATTAATATTGCTGAGTGCGGCGTTAAACAACAAACCAACCAGCCAACCTCCCTGAAAATATAAGCATGATGTAACTGTAGCTTGACTGTGAGGGTCATGGATGGCCCAGTCATTTTGGGTTCTGCAATTCGCTGTGAGGAGTTGCGTCCTTTACGTTGGTCAGAAACCTACGATTGTAGGTACGAAGCCTGGTTTGCCGTAATTCTGTTTCTGGCTTGGACTGTATACACAGGTTTGACCAAGCGTCACTTCGGGCTTTCCTCCTTCATTAGCCTAACACGCCGTGATATGTCTACAAAACTGTAAAACAAAACAGCGTTAAACGAAACTCACTCTAACATCCCTGAGGTTATATGCCACCGTTTTTTTCTGGGTTTTTTTGCCTTCAGTGACCATGGAGCTTTGGTACCTGGCACTGATGCTTGTAGCTGCTTGTGTCCATGTTCACGCGGAGACTGGGGATGGTAAGTTTCAAACCTTCACTACAAACCCAACTCACTCACTCACTGTTTGACTTATCTTCGGGTGGCACATTCGCCAAAGTTACTTCTTTTCGCTGTGCGTTTGAATCTGTAACCGTGGTCCTTGGCTTGTCAGCACCATTCCTGTGGATGCCAGCACCACACTCCCCTGAAAGATGAATACCGTCTATTTTTTCGCTCCGGGTACTCAACGCTAAGTCCCGAATACGATGTAATACAAATCTTAAAATCACTAAGTAAAAGGATGCGCTTTAAAGTGAAATTACTGATATAAATTGAAATCATATCGAAAAGTAATATAACGTATGAAGAAAATTTTAATAAACACCTTTTTTACGTCCTGCGTACCATTTGCTGAGTCCCGATACCCAGCAAATAGATTCCCTAATACCGGGTACCAAAAGAGGATTGGCAGCCTCTTTGCTTGTAGGTTTGTTTTTTTATATATATAATTGAACAAAAACTGTTGTTTACTTTGATGTCTAGTTAACCATCACTCATTCCTGCAACAGTTTGTAAAAAGCAAATCTTTGGAAGACTGGTGTAAGAAATGAGTGTGCAACCACATGACAACTACCGAACTTTACAATACCCTGAAATACACGTCCTGATAAACAGTGGGTGAGTCTTAGTTTGTCTTGTTGATAGTTTAGACACGTCCTGATAAACAGTCGGTGAGTCTGAATTTTCTCAAAGATTGTTCAGACACGTCCTGAGAAACAGTGTTGTGGGTCCGTGTTTCCCTCAGTGATTGTTCTGCACACGTCATTAGAAACAGTATTGTTGCTCTGTGTTTGTCACAGTGATTGTTCATACACGTCCTAAGAAACCGTATTGTGGGTCCGTGTTTGTCACAGTGATTGTTCTGCACACGTCATTAGAAACAGTATTGTGGCTCTGTGTTTGTCACAGTGATTGTTCATACACGTCCTGAGAAACTGTATTGTGGGTCCGTGTTTGTCACAGTGATTGTTCTGCACACGTCCTGAGAAACAGTGTTCCGGGTCCGTGTTTCTCTCAGTGATTGTTCATACACGTCCTGAGAAACAGTATAGTGGGTCCGTGTTTGTCACAGTGATTGTTCATACACGTCCTGAGAAACAGTATTGTGGGTCCGTGTTTGTCACAGTGATTGTTCATACACGTCCTGAGAAACAGTATAGTGGGTCCGTGTTTGTCACAGTGATTGTTCATACACGTCCTGAGAAACAGTGTAGTGGGTCCGTGTTTGTCACAGTGATTGTTCATACACGTCCTGAGAAACAATGTGGTGGGTTCGTGTTTGTCACAGTGATTGTTCAGAAACGTCCTGAGAAACAGTGTAGTGGGTTCGTGTTTGTCACAGTGATTGTTCATACACGTCCTTATTTACAGTGTAGTTGGTCCGTGTTTGTCACAGTGGTTATTCAGTGCACGTCCTGATAAACAGTGTAGTTGGTTTGCGAATTGAAGGTATTGATTATACTCACAGGAATCATTTTCCCCAAAAAGCCACCAAATTCTATTATAGCATCGCTTCAAACACATGATAGTTCTGCAAGTTATTTTGTGTTTACTATTGTACGCGACCCTCATTGTTTTCAAAACTTTGGCACATTAATAGTTCCTTTGTTTTGTTTCAGATTCCTCCTGCTCTTATGAGGATGCCGGCGAATGGTCCGCGTGTTATCCAAGAACTAAACAGCAGACCATGGCCCAGTTTCTAGTTGATGGAGAAGACTCCTGTCCACAGACGAAAACCATAACCAAACCATGCACACCTGAAGAAGATCCTGTAGTGGGTAGGTTTGTCTCAGTGATTGTTCAGACACGGCCTGATAAACAGTGTGGCGGGTAAGTGTTTGTCTCAGTGGTTGTTCAGACACAGCCTGATAAACAGTGTGGTGGGTAAGTGTTTGTCTCAGTGATTGTTCAGACACGGCCTGATAAACAGTGTGGTGGGTAGGTGTTTGTCTCAGTGATTGTTCAGACACGGCTTGATAAACAGTGTGGGAGATAGGTGTTTGTCTCAGTGATTGTTCAGACACGGCCTGATAAACAGTGTGGTGGGTAGGTGTTTGTCTCAGTGATTGTTCAGACACGGCCTGATAAACAGTGTAGTGGGTAGGTGTTTGTCTCAGTGATTGTTCAGACACGGCCTGATAAACAGTGTGGTGGGTAGGTGTTTGTCTCAGTGATTGTTCAGACACGGCAAGATAAACAGTGTAGTGGATAGGTGTTTGTCTCAGTGATTGTTCAGACACGGCCTGATAAACAGTGTGTTGGTTAGGTGTTTGTCGCAGTGATTGTTCAGACACGGCCTGATAAACAGTGTGTTGGTTAGGTGTTTGTCTCAGTGATTGTTCAGACACGGCCTGATAAACAGTGTGTTGGTTAGGTGTTTGTCTCAGTGATTCTTCAGACACGTCCTGATAAACACTAAAGGAGGTCCGTGTTTGTCTCAGTGATTCTTCAGACACGTCCTGATAAACACTAAAGGAGGTCCGTGTTTGTCTCAGTGATTCTTCAGACACGTCCTGATAAACACTAAAGGAGGTCCGTGTTTGTCTCAGTGATTGTTCAGACACGGCCTGATAAACACTGAAGGGGGTCCATGTTTGTCTCAGTGATTCTTCAGACACGTCCTGATAAACAGCGTAGTGATTTCTTGTTTGTCTCAGTGATTGTTCTGCACACGTCCTGATAAACAGCGTAGTGATTTCTTGTTTGTCTCAGTGATTGTTCAGAAATGTCCCGATAAACAGTGGAGTGGGTTCGAGTTTCAATGACTGTTCATTACACGTCCTGATAAACAGTGTAGTTTGTACGAATTTACTGAGGTGATTGCTCAGTACAATGTAGGAGGTCCGAGTTTGTCTCAGTAATTATTCAGACACGCCCTGATAAACAGAATAGTGGGTCACACTAAACATTCTAATTCCTACTGAAGCATCGGCTCCAAAACATGATAGTTCTGCAAGTTAATTTTTGTTTACAATTTTATGCGACTCAAATAGTTTCAAAACCTTCAGCACATTAACAGTTCCTATGTTTTGTTTCAGATTCCTCCTGCTCTTATGAGGATGCCGGCGAATGGTCCGCGTGTTATCCAAGAACTAAACAGCAGACCATGGCCCAGTTTTTGGTTGATGGAGAAGACTCCTGTCCACAGACGAAAACTATAACCAAACCATGCACACCAGAAGAGACTGACGCAACATCAGAAGAGGAACCAAATGAAGATGATGAAAATGCTAGTAGTGATGAAGATGATGAAGATCCAGGAGAGTATAGTGGGGCAAGAGGCAGGAAGCACAAACGGGGGTATGGACGTGGACATGCCAGGACTGATGTTGATGATGAAGATGATGAAGAACCTAGAGAGCACAGAGGGACAAGACGGCGAGGAATGAATGTGATCATGATGAGGACTGCACATGCTCAGAGAGTGCAAGGGGGCCATGAACGTAAGGTACATGGACATCGGATACAGGACGGAGGTCACTGGCATAAGCGACCGGAAGGCCATGGACAATGGGGACTAGGAAGACGTCAACATAACATGCAAGCAAAGACCTTTTTGATCACACCTCATCGCGTAGCAAGGAAACACTCAGTTGTAGAAGGCAGGGAGAAACAAGAACGACGACAACGAACGCATCATCGGAGCAATATCTTCGCACAACTTAGACAGAGATATCGCGGACAACATGGCAGCCATCGATATAGTGGTGGTGGATTTCGTAAACGCTATGTAGGACGTTGAGACATGTCGACACCCCACATGCTAATCTTTCACGACCTTGCACCTGCAGATACAGTCACTTTGAACCAATAACCAATCACTCACCAGAGAAAATTACATGAATAGATTATAGGTAAATATAATTTTAATTCCAAGAAATTTACATTTGAAATGAAAAGTTGTCATTAGTAAGAAGAATTCGTTATGTAATCATTGAAGCCAATGCAATGAGGGTCATGTGGACGGCTAAGCAATAATAAAGTCAAGAGTCGGCACAGAGTTTTGTCTTCTTGTGAACTAACTATCAGATTTAAAAGGTATTATATCTAATAATAAGACCCAGTGGGGACCCTGGTAGGATGCGGTACCAGAACCTCATTGCCTGTCCAGAGAGAGGCGACTAAATTGGAAACCCGTTGGAATTCCGGATTAGAACGGTCCCCGGTCCACTATGCTAGTCGTAAGAGGCTACTAAATGGATTTGATGGTCAGGTTCAGTAATTTAGTTGAATGCATGCCAACGTACCCCAATTGTGTGTATCGATGCTCATGATGTCAATCATTGGATTGTCTGATCCAGACTCGAGTATTTACGGACCGCCGTGATATAGCTGGAATTTTGCTTAGTGTGGCTTTAAACAACAAACAAACTAAAAACAATCAATCAATAAACGCATCTAAATGTACAAATGTTTTGTTTGTTGTTTAACTCTGCACTGAGCAATATTCCAGCTACGTGACAGAGATCTGATAATGGAAAGGCGGGTCTGCTGTACAACCTTTTCTCTCTGATATGGAGGCGGTCGGGTAGCCTAGTGGTTAAAGCGTTCGCTCGTCATGCCGAAGACCCGGGTTCGATTCCCGACATGGGTACAATGTGTGAAGCCCATTTCTGGTGTCCCCCGCCGTGATATTGCTGGAATATTGCTAAAAGCGGCGTAAAACCATACTCACTCACTCACTCACTCTGATATGGAATCATGGGAGGGACATTGTCACCTTGTCGCATTGTCGCTCTAACAAAAGAAAAGCAAACAGTGTCAAAGTTAACAATGCGACATTTTGGCCATTTGTCACGTTGTCGCTTTGTGGTGCTTTGTGGTGCTTTATTTTTGCCAAAGGGCGAAACCGCGACATTTTTAAGGTCAAAATATGTCGCGTTGTCGCAATGTCGCGCTTTGGTTAATTTTGACACTTTTTGCTTCTTTTTGGAAGGGGGGGGGGGGGGGGTAGCTCACTGCCTTTGTGTTCACCCACTCTATTCGCTATTGTCTGGGGCTCCGTCACTCTCTTACTGTGAGTACTAAGGGTGTGGTCTCTCGTTCACTACGTCATGGTCGTACGTACGTACACACACACACACACACACACACACACACACACACACACACACACGCTGACATTTCTTCTGATCATGAAAAGGGTTTTTGTCGCTATTTATTAATAAATAGCGACAATTATGAATTATATTTGTATCTTCTTTCTTTTTCGATGAAATACAGATAGAGATAAGCTTTCAGTGAGTGTCCTTGTGATTTATTTTTTTGAATTTGAATTTACTTTTATATGAACGCTGTTTGAATGATTCGCGGGAGGTAAAACATGCCACGCACAGGAATGGAAAGGCGTTGTTAAGGTTGTAATAAACACATATACTCACAGACAAGACACGGATTGTAGAATGGACGTCCAGTCTTTGCTGTAGTGCACGTCATGACCATAAGTTTATGGGGGAAAGTTTGGGTCCAGGGCCCACTTGCACAAAGCGATCTTAGTGCTAAGATGATCGTAACTCCCATACTTTAACATAGGCTTACAATAGTCGTAGTGCTAAGATCGCTTTGTGCAAGAGGGCCCAGGATATCAGCGCTAAGATGTATCTCCGACTGCATGGGACGTTGATTAAACATAATACCATCTCTGGTTTCTTAAGACAATTTCGCCAATATTTACAGGCTGCCGTGATATAGATGGACATTTGATGACTGCCGGGAAATATATTGTTACGGGCAGATTTTCAAGTTGAAACTCAGAGGTGAATCCAAATAGGTTAATCCTATAGAAAAAGTGGTAAAATCAGTGACATCAAAAAGGCTTACAAAACAGGCAATGCAATAGATGCAGCAATAAATAGCAGGCTCTGTTATATGTTAGTTTCCTCACGAATGACCAGATTTGTTACTGTCGAATATCTTCACATGCCGAAACTTCTTGAACGATCAAACCTGCCATGTTGTAAATATCCAGAGCGGGTAACTCTATTCACTTTTACTTTCACATCAATCACTTGCTGTCACTGACTTCTACAAATATAAATAAACCTACAACAGTCTCCGCTGCCACCAATATCACTTACATATAACAACTCGTACATCACAAACCTGCACGAATGGTGTTTCAAGTCATCAATATCCTGGAAAACACATGGAATATCTGAAATGCTTACCAGGTTGTGGGAATGTTACTGGTCAAATCGAAGCTCAGAAATGTCATGTTCAAGGGGGCGGTGGGGTAGCCTAGTGGTTAAAGCGTTAGTCCGTCACGCCGAGGACCCGGGTTCGATTCCCGACATGGGTACAATGTGTGAAGCCCATTTCTGGTGTCCCCCGCCGTGATATTGCTGGAATTTTGCTAAAAGCGGTGTAAAACCAACTCACGCACTCACGTTCACGAGAGAATACAAGATGGCCGATGTCAGAGAATAACCAATTTGGTCATAAAAGGCAAAATAAAGGTGAATTTGTTTTGTGAAGGGATCACTGAAAATCAGTGATGTCGCCAAGCTAGGCATGTCCTTCCCTACCGGTAGCACTTGCAACTTGCCTGAGATCCAATTACACGATAGCGCATTTACTTAGCTATATGTTTACTCATGCTCAGGTACTATGCCTTCAACTTGGAGAAGATTGGTTGGTTGGTTGGTTTGATGTTTAACGCCACACTCAACAATATTCAAGCTATATGACGGCGGTCCAGTGATAAATATCATGAGCATCGATCCACGCAATTGGGATCGATGACATGCATCAACCAAGTCAGCGAGCCTGACCACCCGATCCTGTTAGTCGCCTTTTACGACAAACATAGTCGCCTTTTACGCCAAGCATGGGTTGCTGAAGACCTATTCTACCCCGGATCTTCACGGGTCTGGAGTAGATGAAAAGATTACTTAACATTTCAATTATAAATAAATTTTAATCTGTTAGAACGAAATCTAACAAAAGTCCTACCACCTGTTCATCCCCCATCCAACCCCACACGAGTCATGTTCATAAAACTCATGTTGCCGCATCATCAATCAGTAATCATTTTAATATAAACTGAACAAAAAAGTGGGGGACCCTGAATACTTTGGGGGATATTTTTTTTATGAAATCGCGTGTTCGGTCTTCATTTCAAAAACACATTCCAAAATATATTCATCATCGCTAGCATTTTTGTTCAGTATATTAATGGGGGCATGGGTGGCCCAGTCGTCTGAGGCGCCGCGATTCGCTGTGCAGAGTTGCGTCCCTTGGAACCTGTGATTGTGGGTTCGAATCCCGGTTCGCCCCGATTTTGTTTCTAGGTTTGTCAGCACCATACCCGTGCTCGTGGGTTTCACCGAAGTGGTAAACGTCTGAGACTTGCATCAGTTCGGGCTTTCCTCCCACATTAAACTGACACGCCGCGATATAACTGGAATACTGTTGAAAGCGGCGTTAAACCCAACTCACTCACTCACTCAGTATATTAATAGATTGACTTTCACTTTGTATGAGTTCACTGGAGTATGAACCTTCATTAGAGTGAGGGCCAAACTGTATAAACGTCGGAGCTTTTTCGGGGATATGTTTTTTACATAGCGGTCACATCCAAAAAGTAGTCATTATTATTGCTTGTATGTTTAATATATTAAATAGATTTATTACTTGCCCGTGAAGAGATCACCCGTTTAATAAACATACAGCTGTATTACACATTGTGTAATACCAAAACGCGTGCTTATGTACTCTCGGAACACGTTTCACGAACAAATATTGAAAGCTCTCAACATCCCTTGGCTTATTCAACGACACTGCGTGTGGAGATGATAGATCACTGAGAGGAGCTTATGCACACTCGATGACCCAGCAACCTTGTTGCTAGGCTGACGTCACATGGCATTGTTTCGCCGATGGATCTTGCAACAAAATTTCACAAATTACGTCATCGGGTATTGTGACGTAATTGTAAACTTTGAGGTGCAAGGCCCCGTTCCACAAAGCGAGCGTACTGTAGCGCAACGACAGTCGTTGGTCTAAGTTAAAGTATGTGAGTTGAGACAAGAAAACATTGATACAGAGCATCAAAGTTCCCCGCCATATGTGATGCCTCACAAACGCATAATTATGATGTTACTGAAAGGCATGATGGAGCATAATTATATTAACCACAAATAACACAACGCTGTTGTGGAAAAATATTATTTATTTTGAGTATTGGGCAATACAGTTGATACATTTGCATAGGGTAGGTCTATTTAAAAATAGTTTCTTGTTTAACGCCGCACTCAGCAGTATTCCAGCCATATGACGGCGATCTGTAAATAATCCAGTCTGGACCAGATCATCCAGTGATTGACACCACGAGCATTGAACTACGCAATTGGAATATGATGTTATGCATCGACCAAATCGGCGAGCCTGACTACCCAATCCTGTTCGTCGCCTCTTACGGCAAGCATAGGTAACTGAAGACCTATTCTAACATGGGTCTTTATTTAAAAAGTAGATCGAAGGAAATGGAAGCAATTTCTGGCACAAATGTAAACATGTGGAAATAGTATCAAAACTGCCAACAACATTGGCAGATGCACATACTCAAATAATAGATCACATTCTTTTTACACTTGGCATTTGGTTATAATAATGTAAATGAAAATACTAAGGGCTCCATATGGCAAAAAAGTCATACTAGATAAGGTCTATTGGTAACAACTCAAAATATTATCACGTAGTTGGAGAACATTTCAATACCGGGACTAATCAATAACGGAGATTCCTCGTCTCTTGCTTTACGTTTTTTGGTCAGTTTCTTTTTTGTATTTCTTTCTTTCAAAGAATAGTAATTGTGATCATGATGAGTTGAGTTACTTGGTTTTTTTCTATGTACTGTTTTTTATCCAGTGTCAGTAACTGTTGTGGAATGTGGTTTACTTGTAACAATGACTGGTTTGAGTTCATATGATGATGATTGATTGGTCTGTCGTTTAACGCCGCACTCAGCAATATCCCAGCTATATGACGGCGTTCTGTAAA